ATATAGATATATAATATTATAAAAAATGTAATGAAAGGGGGTAAAGCAGCTGGAACTGATGGGATCATGACTAATGTTAAAAGCAGGGGGGGATATAGTGATGGAGTGGGTGGTACTTTTTTAATAAATGTATGAAAGAGGGGAAAGTACCTAGGGATTGGCGAGAGCATGTAATAGACCCCCCTTATAATAATGGGAAGGGGGACAAAAGGATGTAAAATTATAGAGGAATAAGTCGCCGAGTATAACAGGAATAATGTATGGTAAGGGTTATTATAGAAAGAATTAGAGTATGGACAGAATGCAGGATTGCGATGAGCAGGAGTTTCAGAGAGGGTAGGGGATGACCAATAAGCACAGTATCATCAGCAGTAAAGTAACTGTCAATTCCCATTTTGTATTTGATTCCCCTAATTAATCCTCCCATCTCACCGAGGGGTGACATTGCCCCATCCGTGTCTAAGACCTACTTTTACCGGGAAGTAAGTCTCCCTCTCTTCTACTCACCTCTAACCTGAATCCTCCACTATCCGGCATAAATACACTTTACAGCATTTAGTAACTTACCCCTATTTCCTTATACTTGCAATAAAAAACATCTGCCACATTACTCCCCTATCCACCTATCATATGCCTTTTCTAAATCCCATAAATCAATAAAAACTTCCCTACCTTTAGCTAAATACTGTTCACATATAGCTTCAATGTAAATGACCAAACCACCTCAACAACCCCTCTTACCGGCCCTCTGACTAATGCTTTTATTATAACTCACACCTTCTCCTAATTTCCACACTCCGAATTTTCTGCATATATTTACACCACACATTGCCCTAGACAGGACATCTCCTCTGCCTCCAACCGTCTCTCGCTGCTGCCTTTACCACCCAAGCTTCACTCCATTAAGAGTGTTGGTACTATCTATACTTTCATACATTCCCTTCTTTGCCTCCATAGATAACGTTTTTTGACTCCACATATACCTCAATGCACAACTCACCTTTTCCCTCATCATTTGCTATGATTAACCTCATCCTTCATAAACCTCCGCCACACGTCAACTCACCAAGTATCTAAAAAGTCACTTCTTCCATACTCCTCCTCCCCAATTTGATATCCATTTTTTCTTTATCTAAAGCATTTGACACCCCTCATCACCTTACTCTTTTCTAAGTTCACTTCAACCTTCTGCCTTTACACACATTCCAAACTCATCCACTAACCTTTGCAATTTTCTTTAGAGTCTCCCAATAAGCACAGTATTATCAGCAAAAATAACTGTGTCCAATTCCTATTTTGAATTTATTCCCCATAATTTAATCCCACCCCGCTCCCGAACACCCATAGTATTTACTTCTTTTACAACCCATCTATAAATATATTAAACAACCATGTGACTTACACATCCCTGGCTAAGTTCTACTTTTACCGGGAAGTATTCTCCTCTCATCTACACACCCACCATGACATCACTATCCGCATAAAAACTCTTAACAGCATTTTAGGTTAAGCTTACCACCTATTCCATAATCTTTGCAACATCTCCACATTAATCCTCTATCCACTCTATCATATGTCCTTTTCTAAATCCATGAATGCAATAAAAACTTCCCTACCTTTATCTAAATACTGTTCACATATATGCTTCAATGTAAACACTTGATCTACACATCCCCTACCCACTCTGAAGCCTCCCTGCTCAATCCGAACCTACATTTCTGACTTACCTCTAATTTCTTCAATTATAACCCGACCGTACACTTGTCCTGGTATACTCAGTAACTTATTCCTCTCAATAATTTTTCAAACTCTTTTGTCCCTTTTCACCTTTATATAAAGGGACATACCTGCTCTCCGCCAATCCCTAGGTACCTTTCCCTCTTCATACTTTTATTAAACAAATGAACCAACCTCTCCACACATATCCCCCCTGTTTTTTACATTCTGTCATGATACAATCAGTTTCCTGCTGCTTTACCCCCTTTCATTCTACGTAAGGCCTCACGTACCTCCACCACACCTTACATTCGCTCTTCTTCACTCCTAAAAGATGGTTATACCACTCCTGGCCAGTGGCAATAAATTACCGCCTCCCTTTCTTCTCAAAATTTAAAAGTCCTCAAATAATCTTGCATCCTACCTAATACCTCCCTTCCCCATCTACTAACTTCCCTACTCTTTTTAACAGACAAATCCATACTTCCCTAGGCTTAATTAACTTGTTTAACTCACTCCAAATTATTTTTTCTAGTTTCATGAAATTTCTTGACAGTGCCTCTCCCACTCTTTCATCTGCTCTCCTTTTGCACTCTCCTCACTACTCTCTTCACCTTTCTTTTACGTCCTCCATATACTCTGCTCTTCTATAACACTTCTGCTTTGCAAAAACCTTTCATAAGCTACATTTTTCTCTTTTAGCCCACACCCTTTACTCATCATTCCCACCAATCATCTCTGTTCCTCCTGCCCCCCACCTCCTATATCCTCAAACCTTCTGCCCCACATTCAATACTGCTATTTTTAAAACTATTCCAACCCTCTTCAACCCCCCCACTACTCATCTTTGTACTAGCCCACCTTTCTGCCAATAGTCGCTTATATCTCACCCGAACTTCCTCCTCATTTAGTTTATACACTTTCACCTCCCTCTTACTTGTTGTTGTCACCTTCCTCTTTTCCCATCTACCTCTTACTCTAACTGTAGCTACAACTAAATAATGATCCGATACATCAGTTGCCCCTCTATAAACATGTACATCCTGGAGCCTACCCATCAACCTTTTATCCAATACATAATCTAACAAACTACTTTCATTACGTGCTACATCATACCTTGCATATTTATTTATCCTCTTTTTCATAAAATATGTATTACTTATTACCAAATTTCTTTCTACACATAGCTCAATTAAAGGCTCCCCATTTACATTTACCCCTGGCACCCCAAATTTACCTACTACTCCCTCCCTAACATTTTTACCCACTTTAGCATTGAAATCCCCAACCACCATTACTCTCACACTTGATTCAAAACTCCCCACGCATTCACTCAACATTTCCCAAAATCTCTCTCTCTCCTCTACACTTCTCTCTTCTCCAGGTGCATACACGCTTACTATAACCCACTTTTCACATCCAATCTTTATTTTACTCCACACAAATCCTTGAATTAATACATTTGTAGTCCCTCTTTTCCTGCCATAGCTTATCCTTCAAACATTATTGCTACTCCTCTTTAGCTCTAACTCTATTTGAAACCCCTGACCTAATCCCATTTATTCCTCTCCATTGAAACTCTCCCACCCCCTTCAGCTTTGTTTCACTTAAAGCCAGGACATCCAGCTTCTTCTCATTCATAACATCCACAATCATCTCTTCTTATCATTTGCACAACATCCACGCACATTCAGACTTCCCACTTTGACAGTTTTCTTCTTATTCTTTTTAGTAATCTTTACAGAAAAAGGGGTTACTAGCCCATTGTTCCCGGCATTTTAGTTAACTTTTACAACACGCATGACTTACGGAGGAAAGATTCTTATTCCACTTCCCCATGGATATAAAAGGAAAAGTAATAAGACCAAGAACTGTTAAGATAAAATCAAAGAAAACTCAGACGAGTGTGTATAAATAAACGTGTACATGTATGTGTAGTGTGATCAAAGTGTAAGTAGAAGTAGCAAGACGTACCTGTAATCTTGCATATTTATGAGACAGACAAAAGACACCAGCAATCCTACCATCATGTAAAACAATTACAGGCTTTTGTTTTACACTCACTTGGCAGGACGGTAGTACCTCCCCGGGTGGTCTGCTCTACCAACCTACTACTACTAAATATATATATATAAAATATATTTTATATATATATATATATAATATATTATATATATATATATATATATATATATATATATATATATATATATATTTTATGTCGTCCGAATAGGCAGAACTTGCGATCTTGGCTTAAATAGCAACGTTCATCTTGCCATATAGGACAAGCAAAAATTTGTGTATCAATAATTTCGCCAAAATCATCTGAACCTAACGAAAAAATATATTTCACTGTGTTTGTTTAGTATTAAATTATTGTAAACAAATCTAAAACATATTTAGTTGGGTTAGGCTAAAATAAATTGTTCTTGTTGTAATAAGGTTAGGTAAGTTTTTAAGATTCTTTTGGTGCAAAATTATAAATTTTTACATCAACATTTATGAAAAAAATATATCTTTTAAACTTATAAGAGAAAATTTAAAAAGGACTTAATTTTAAAATGAGTTCTTGCTAATTGACCAGTTTTACATTTTGGCACGACATATATATATATATATATATATATATATATATATATATATATATATATATATATGTATATATATATGCAATAAGATCACAGTGAACAGGTGATTTCAAAATATGCAAAACAACCACTCTGAAAAGAATAGAGAAATTCCAAGCGCTTTCGTGACTACTCACATTATCATAGTTCCTTGATAATGTGAGTAGTCACGAAAGCGCTTGGAATTTCTCTATTCTTTCAGAGTGGTTGTTTTGCATGTGTAAAAATATAAATTGCAATATATATTTATCTAATTAATTTTCGCTAAAAAAAATTACTATCAGGATTTGTTTTCTCAAATAGAACTTAACAATGTATACAACATCGAAAATAAAATCAGATTCATGAAAGATAAAACAAAAGACATTGCAAGTACAGTTTACAGTAACAAAAGATTACAATGACACGTATATATAAATTCGATAATATACTTTTTGTCCGGCATTAATCTGATCAAGACAGATTATTCCAATGATTTTAATCGGGAGGAAGAAAATCCCCGTTAGGGCTATACAGGGCTTGTGGAACGGGAGGTAATCAGTCTTGATCCGAGGAAATGGAGGGTAGTTCCTATTCCTTAGATCAAGAGCCCTTCACCTGCATCAACGTCCCCCCCCTCTTCCCCCCGCTTTTAACTCCATTTATTATCCTCTACAGCGCTGCTCATCTTCGTGAGTGTGAAGTCACAGACGAAGGTGCGGGAGGAAACGAAGAGAGTCTTCAGCAGCATCTCTGCTAAAGAAAACATCCACAAGGCTAAAGGTGAGAGAGAGAGAGAGAGAGAGAGAGAGAGAGAGAGAGAGGAGAGAGAGAGAGAGAGAGAGAGAGAGAGAGAGAGAGAGAGATTTTATTTTATGGGGGAGCGCTAAATTCGTTATAGATCTTACAGCCCCTTAAGGAATAAGAAGCGACCAAATATAATAATTCGATTTCGGTGCTAATCCCACGTGGGATTATTCAGCACAAGATGTGGCGGAGGCTCGATCCTCCGTCTACTCTGAATAGCGACTAGATTCGATCCAAGGAACGGCAGCTCCAAGTCTTTGAATTAAATGCTCTTAACCGGTGTTATTTATCATTACAAAGCTAAGCGTTAAATCTATATGGAAATTGATGTCAAGTCTGGGGTTCACCACGCATGATACGCTGCACCAGTCCTAGCTACACGTGTCGCGTAGTTGATGATCATTATAAAATAATTAATATTAATCTTTATTTTACAAGTACATGATACAACTTATACAGACGTAGCTGACATGAATTACATACTATAAAGAAAGCCTCCTTGTTGTGCAGAGCATTTCGGGCAAATTAGGTTAATTTTGTGCCAAGGATGCGACCCACACCAGTCGGCTAACACCCAGTTACCTACTTGCTGCTAGGTGAACATGGACAGCAGTGTCCTAAGGAAACACGCCCCCAGTGTTTCGATCCGTACCTAAGATCGAATCATGTATATCATATAGTACTATACACAAATAACCCGCACATAAAAGAAAGAAGCTTACGACGACGTTTCGGTCCGACTTGGACCATTGACAAAGTCAATTACAGTGTACGATTTATCCTCCCTTAGAGAACGAGAGAGAGAGAGAGGAGGGTATATTGCAGGCAGGAAGTCGCTAAAGAATCCTGGTCCACCTGGTTTTCAGAGAGGGTGTCGTCAACGGAGAGTCGCTATGTGAAGGTGGGGTTAATTCCAGAGTCTAGACACATCAAGGTGCAAGGAATGAGGGACCAGCTGCTACGTACCCTCGACCTCAGGAACGTGCAAGAACTGACTGTCAAATACATACAAGACTATACCCAGATCTCCGTCTCTGTTCTCAACCACTACGACCTGGTGAGTGTGGTAACTGATGTTGAGCCCTGGATCCTCTTAATAATCAGTGTGATGAGGGGTGATGAATACAGGACCTCACTCTAATAATGAGTCCAGTGACTGCTTGTTTGGTGGCGAGTTTGATGACTTATTGATGTCAAATTAAGAGGGCTCCCTCTTGGTTAGTCGATCTGAAAAAAAAAAAAAAAAATTTTGTAGGAGTATTCTGAGAAGATGCTTCCTCTCTCTCACGAGAGCTCAGCATCACCTCACCATTAAGATAGTAATCTCATTATAATTAAAATGCACTAAACCCCTAAGGGCCATACAGTACCTGGGGAATAAAAGGTAAGTAGGTTCGACACAAGGAAGAGGAGGGCTGGTTCAATTCCTTAAACAAAGAGCCCTTCATGACAATTGCTTTTATCTACTGACCTCTCCATGAATTGATTCTTTGAATCTGCTTGGAGATCCACAGATACATGGTGAAGCACTCTTGACGAAGGAGCAGAGCTGCCGTCCACTTCCCAAGAGCATTCGTGAATTTCTCCCATTACACAAACACTATAAACAAAACCAGGGGCAGCTCCAAACTTTCCATATCAGAAACACATAGGGATGGTGGGGAAGGGGGGTGCAGTTTAAATAGGAGGGGATGGGGGTTAGGGGTCTTGTCTTGAAATTGAGTTATTTTTATTTGCGTAGGCCTTAGAGTTCTGCGGAAGATTATGGATGCTTCTGCTTTTCCGTGGAACGGCCACTCTTCCCAGCAGGATGCTTCTTAATGAATATAATAATAATCCCAGTCTCACTTTCTGCAGTTCCTGAAGTTCGTGGATGGCTTCCACGGCGAGAAGTTGTACATGGACTTGGAGAGTTTTTGCCAAGAACTTGGTATAGCTTTCAGCTCCAAGCAAGAGACGAAGGCATCCATCCTGAGAGGGGTGACTACTGTCTACCAGAGAGAGAAACAGCTAGCCGAGTTCTCCAGGGTCGTGTTGGGTAATGTAAGTTTATGCTGACTGTACACACACACACACACACACACACTTTTACAACCATCACCATAAATTATAATGATACAACCCACAGATGGATTATATTTATGGAACGCCAAAATGACAAAAAAAAAAAAAAGATATGCAAACACTGAGCTAACGACCAACTCCATTAAAATGATTGACAAACCAAAATTTTAATAGGAAATGCAAAATCACCGTTCTTTTGATTTTGATGTGTGCACTGTGCACAGCCTACCCGTGTTTTGTTTTTTACCGAGTCATTTCTTGGAAAGCAATGGTATAAAAAACGGACACGATGGGTAAAGAAACAAATATAGTACAATGGGATTGTTTAACATTATTTTGCCCACAGTTGACTTTATCAAGTTACAACCAATCAAGGGAGGTTCCTTGATGCTGGTGAGGGGCTCTTGATCTAGGGAATTGGATCTGTGCTCCAGTTCCCTGAATTAAGCCTGGTTACCTTCCATCCCCCCCACAGGTGGTGTATAATTTTACGGGTTTAGCGCTTCCCCATAATAATATCAAGTTACATCACTTGGGTATCTTTATTTGGGAAACGTTTCGCCAGCCAGTGACTTCTTCAGTCCAGCGAATAGTAATGGAAAATTATTTTGAGGTAATCTGTCCCTTAACCTGGAATCGACGTGTTCAGTCTATTAATCTTGATGGACTCAACACATCGACTTCAGGCTGAGGGACTGAATACCTCAGTGTCCTCATCTCCCACCGTTTCTGCGCACTGGACTGAAGAAACCACTGGCTGGCGAAACGTTTCCAAAATAAAGATGCACACGTGCCTTATTTATCAACTTATCGGGTTTTTTAAACCATTTATCCGAAAGATCTATTTGTAACTCGATAAAGCAGAATATGAGGGCGAAACGTTGTTAATAATCACATCATAATGAGCTGTTTCCTACTAGAATGACTGAACTTTCTAGTTAATATTTGAATTATTTATTATTTTATTGAGCTGAGGTAAGATAATTGCTCTTATTTGGGAACATTTACGGAACTTTGAGAGTGTGTGAGGGTATTAGGTCGCTGTGAGCGGAGACAGATTTGACGTGCTGTTTGAGTGCGAGCAAATTAACATTTGTTAGGTAAGACACATATGCAACAGTTAGGTATCTTTATTATGAAACGTTTCGCCTACACAGTAGGCTTCTTCAGTCAAGTACAGAAAAGTTGATAGAAGCAGAAGATACTTGAAGACGATGTAATCAGTCCATCACCCTTAAAGTTTTGAGGTGGTCAGTCCCTCAGTCTGGAGAAGAGCATTGTTCCATAGTATGAAACAATATGGAGAAGAAGTGACAGGATGGAGCTTTTTATAGCGCCAAGAGGTGAGACGTAGGCCACTAGGAGAGGTAAGAACTCAGATGTTGAGAGGTTGCATATGTCTTACCTAACAACCTGTCGGTATTTTATACCATTTTAATGTTCAAATTAACATTTACATGGAGAGACGAAGAAACCAGTGAGTTAGACTAGAGTTGTGAAGGTGGGAAATACAGTAGTACCGGAACTCCGATGGAGGGATGGGGATATTGTGATTCAAAGGGTCATTTGAACTGTGATATCCGTGGCCTTCTGGCAAGATAGCTATTGACTGAATGATAGCGAAAGTGTTTTCTCTGTGACATCCTACCTTGATGAGAAACAGCCATTATTATTGGTAGAGGGGTGAAACATCTGTGGCTCTGTGGACAAAGACAAATATGCAGAAACTTAAAAAAAAAAAATCTACTTACAATTTTCTGGAAAAAATCTTTGCTTTTCGAAAACAAGTCAAAATAAAATCTTATCAAGCATTCTCATTTATATCTGCACATTTCATTTCTGTCTATTCGACAGGCGTTCGCTGACAGCAAGAAAGCACAGGCGACAGGAAACCTACTGTCAATTGCTGGCAGTAAGATGAACTCCTATTTAACCATGGAAATTACTCAGTTTGAACTGGCCAACCAGCTGGGCATGTTACCAGACTCCATCTTCGTTAAACAGGTGAGAGAAATTAACGGTATATGAAGGGTTAGTCCTGTTCTCTACTCTGTTTTTGTTCACCTTCAAAAGAGTGAACACACTGATATGGTGTACAAGTCTCTCAGTGGAAATATGCTGAGAGTTTACTTAAAGCCTACTGACTCGAGTAGTTGGTAGGCTTTAAGGCCAATAAACAAACCTCTCCTTCTGTTAGCCTTAGTTCATCAGCGTATTAAGTGTAATAAACACTTGTCAGTGTTCAATAACAACCCACATGGAGACAGAAACACGGAAGATTAGTCTGTGTATTTCAATCCTCTTCTGGGATCCTCTTCTGCTGAAGAAGGGGATCGAAATACACAGACCAGTTAATCTTCTGTGTTTCTGTCTCCATGTGGGTTAATAAATAAATAAATAAATAAATAAATAAATATATATATTATATATATATATATATATATATATATATATATATATATATATATATATATATATATATATATATGCAAAACAACCACTCTGAAAGAATAGAGAAATTCCAAGCGCTTTCGTGACTACTCACATTATCAAGGAACTATCATAGTTCCTTGATAATGTGAGTAGTCACGAAAGCGCTTGGAATTTCTCTATTCTTTCAGAGTGGTTGTTTTGCATATTCTGAAATCACCTGTTTACTGTGATCTTATTGCATATATATATATATATATATATATTATATATAATATATATATATATATATATATATATATATATATATATATATATATATGTCGTGCCGAATAAGTAAAACTTACGAGTTTAGATTAAAAAGCAACGCTCTTCTTACCGAATAAGGCAAGAGAAAATTTGTGTATGCAATAATTTCCCCCAAATAAATTCTGAACCTAACGAAACAAATATATTTCACTATGTTTAGTATTAAATTATTGTAAACAAATCTAAAATATATATAGTTGGATTAGGCTAAATTAAATTGCGCTTGTTATGATAAGATTAGGTAAGTATTCTAAGGTTCTTTTGGTGCACAATTATTAATTTTTACATTAACATAAATGAAAAAAAAATATATCTTTAAACGTATAAGAGAAATTTTTAAAAAGGACTTAATTTTGAATGATTTCTTACTAGTTGACCAGTTTTACCTATTCGGCACGACATGGAACTTTAACCTTTGTAATAAGGATTAAATTACTGACAAAAAAAAGTGCACTTACATCTAACAGTTATGTCTCGTATTATCACAATTATTTTCTGTTTACCTCGTATCTATTCATTTTCGTATCTTTAGGGTGTTATTGTTTGCCTGTTACAGAGATTGTCTTGTTTGAATTTTACACTTTTCTTGATTTCCTCTTACAAATGTTTTCTTGTTTATCTCAAATGTCTGTTATGTTTTCCTTCTTACAGTTGTTTCATCTCATGGATTCGGACCAAAGTGGCTTCATCACCATTAAGGAATTCTGGGACGTGATGGTAGTGTTCGCCCAGGGCAAACCCGAGGAGAAGGCTCGACTCATCTTCAACATCTACGATCTCTCCAACAAGGGCTACATCTCCTCCCAGGACCTGATGAGCATTGTGAAGTAATGAGACAGAGAGAGAAGAGAGAGAAGAGAGAAAAGAGAGAGAGAGAGAGAGAGAGAGAGAGAGAAGAGAGAGAAAGAGAGAGAGAGAGAGAGAAGAGAAGAGAGAGAGAAGAGAGAAAAAGAGAGAGAGAGAGAGAAAGAGAGAAAAAGAGAGAGAGAGAGAGAAAGAAAGAGAGACGAAAGAGAAAGAAAGAGAAAGAGAGAAAGAGAGGAGAAAGAGAGAAGAGAGAGAGAGAGAAGAGAGAGAGAGAGAGAGAGAAAGAGAGAAAAAAAAAGAGAGAGAGAGAGAGAGAGAGAGAGAGAGAGAGAGAGAGAGTATTTCTCATTGATACCTGAACTGTTGAACTTTGAACCATTCGTCTACGATACCTGAACTGTTGTATCTGCGCACCTCTGGCAAGACATTGACAGTGAAAATAACGTAGTCTTTTTTTCGGGTCATCCTGCCTCGGTGGGAGACGGCCAGCTTTTTAAAAAAAATTAAATATAATAATGCTATGTAATACTCAAAATGATATGTTTGGAATATATGGAATGATAAAGTAACTCAAACAATAATAAAATGACTGGAATATCTTTAATAGTATATATAGACGTATATACATAAACAAAAGCATTGATTTCTAAAACTCCAAACTGACCAGATCAACGCTGGGAAGTGAAGGCAAGAACCGAGACCTGGACAAGGTAGTCCAGACGATGCTGGAGTCAGTGGGCCTCCAGCACGGTCAATACATTGACTTCGCTCAGTTCCAGAAGATCTTTGACCTACAGGGCGACGTTTTTAGAAACGTCAACATCGACATGAATGACCAGGCTTCCAGAAGAGGAGAGTCTCGCTTCAGTCTCTACGGCAGTATACCGGTTGGGGGCTTCAGTGCCGAAGCCGCTAGGAAGGAATACGAAGAGGCCAGGAAGGAGGTAATGGCGGAAGAGGAAGATCGAGAACCGCAGATGCTGGGAACCATCAATCAGTTCTATCAACTGTGGTCAATAAGGTCAAAGATAATATCGTGTACGTCTCTGGAAAGCACTCTATACCCTCGTTATGCTGCTCATCTTCGTCGAGAGAGCCTACTATTATTCGTAAGCATAAGACAACCATTTGTCATTAGGTACTAAGTAAATAGAAATTCTCTGGCCAAATCAACCCTGTTAACCTACACACCTCACACCCATTGACCATTATGAGTTTAGTGCTTTAACATAACTCTTATACGACTGCCACTATAACTATTACAAAGTTGAGCACTTAGGTATGATTATAATGATTATTATAATAATCATGGGGGAGCACTAAACACATAGGGAGTATACAGCGCCTGTGAGGGGAAGGGTTGGAAGGTATTCAGGCTCAATTCAGGGAACTGGAGCACAGATCCAATACCCTAGATCAAGAACCCCTCACCAGCATCAAGAAACCTTCCTTGGGTATAATGATAATAATAGTTATTACTATTTATAAAGATAAAAATAATGATAGTAATTCTATTATTTCTGATAATATAATTTTATGTTAATTGCCTCATCTCTGAGCACTTTTTTTTATGCAGTTCAGTGCGTCTGCTCCTTCAAGAGAGGTTCAGGAATGCTTATGTAGAGCTCCTGATCCAAGGAACTGGATTTTTCATTTCCGTGAATCGAACCTGAATGCCTCACATTTTCATGGCGCCGTGTGACCCCTCTCCCACCTATGATTTTTTTTTCCTAAATGTAATAATACTGACTCTGCCTTGTGCTACTTTCAATAAAGGAAGGAATTGGTATTTTTGGAATTTCGGATAATTTTGATGATCTATTTTTGGATAATCCATTTGTCTGAGATGGCGCGCGCGCACACACACACACACACACACACACACACACACACACACACACACACACACACAGGAAGTATTTCTTCAGCCTACAGAGTAGTCAGGAAGTGGAATAGTTTGGGAAGCGATGTAGTGGAGGCAGGTTCCATACACAGCTTTAAGTAGAGGTATGATAAAGCTCATGGTTCAGGGAGAGTGATCCAGTAGCTACCAGTGAAGAGGCGGGGCCAGGAGCTATGACTCGACCCCTACAACCACAACTGAGTGCACACACACAACCTTGGAGTTGTCACGAAGTGGTGCAATCTGTAGAGCTTAGTGGTAGAAGTAGCACCCATACAAAGCTTTAAGAAGAGGTACGATAATGCTCTTGGAGCAGAGACTTGCAAAGGGGCAGTGCCAGGAGTTATGAATCTACCCCTGCAACCATATATGGGTGGGTATACTCACACACAAAAAAACATAGGGGTGGGTGAAAAGTGAAATAATTTGGATGAGGTAAGAGGAGGCAAACCTCAATACACAGCTTGAAGAGTAGACATGATAAGGTCCAAGAGGCTTGAAATCAGTGATGCCAGTGAAGTCTAAGAGACGAGGCCAGGAGCCGATTCTCGATGCCCTTCTGTGAGTGTACACTCACAAAATCTGAGACTAGGAGAAAGTTGAAAAAATCCTATGGCCTTTTATGAAAAGGAAAACCTCAATATTTTTTTTTTAATATTTTCTCTCGCTATTTTTTCCAAGAATTTTTAGGGAATATTTTTTTAACTAAAGTGATTTTTTTTAAAAAGCATTACCCCTGGGAATAAACCCTACATCTCTGTGAACTTCATTGTGTTCACCAGGGTGGAGAGAGAACACGCAGGACTCCGCCGTATAGCAGGTTACGGTGTTACTGTTACTCGGGGAGCTGCCTCAGCCATGATGTTTACTTACTCCACTCTCCTCGTCACTATGTGCAGAAACCTCTTCTCTGTTCTCAGGTGAGATCCACGATAAATTTTAGACCCTCATCTGAGTTTTTAAAAACAAACTTAATCTTCATGTGAGTGTTGATTATCCTAGGGAGCGCTAAACCCTTAGGGAGTATACAGCGTCTGAGGAGGGGGATGGAAGGTATTCAGCATTAATTCCCTAGATCAAGAGCACCCCCTCACCAGCATCATGGAATTTCCCTTGAGAGGATGCGAGTGTTGAGGACATTGTCTTCAGGTGAGTTTTGAGGACAAACACTGTCATCATGTGAGTTTTGAGGACAAACACTGTCATCAGGTGAGTGCTGAGACCAAACGTTGTCTTCAGGCGATTTTTCACTCCAAATTATATGTCTTTAAGGGAACTCCAGAAAGCCATGAGACCTACGGTACTTCCTGGCCTTCAGGAGACCTCTGGTTTCTTGAGAAACTTTTCTCGACCTTCAAGGTGACGTCTTGGAGCCAATTTATTTTCTTTCATCTACAACGAAATTGAATACTTTTTTATGAAGAATTATATTCAATACTTATCTCAAGTTAAGCATTTAAGCAAGTTATATTATGCAATCGATGCCTCATTTCTGAGAGAGAGAGAGAGAGAGAGAGAGAGAGAGAGAGAGAGAGAGAGAGAGAGAGAGAGAGAGAGAGAGAGAGAGAGAGAGAAAGAGAGAGAAAGAGAGAGAGAGAATCCTGAGTATTCTGAAACTAAATATCAGTTAAATCTTATGCCAATCTTAGCAGTAACTTACTCTAATGTTACCTCTCACACGTCCTTTCTTTATAAGTATCACGAAATGCATTGTTTATTCTCTCTCTCTCTCTCTCTCTCTCTCTCTCTCTCTCTCTCTCTCTCAAACTATCAGTTAACAGTGATCTACTTTGGGCAAAATAATTGTAGTGTAGTTGTAGGGTAGTAGTAGCGGTAGTAGTAGCGGTAGTAGTAGTATAGTAGTAGTATGTTGTACTGGTATTGGTAGTGGCTCTTGCAACAGAAATCAAGCTTCATCTCGACTATATCGACAGAATGACGAAATAGCCAGACATTAGCTGGTCCTGCTAGGGATGTCATAAAACAGGCATTGCTGACAAGTATTTTGGAAAGATGATCTTTGCACAGAAAATCTTCATCACAGACAATGTTTTGCTTGAAAGGTAAGCGTTATTAAATCTAATATATAATTTTGACTTGATAAATTGTCAAAAATGGACCGAAACGTTGTGGCCAAAACGCTGTTTCTATAAAAATAAGGCAACCATGTGAGGGAAACATCGTCTCTATTAAAAAAAAAGACCACTATGTGAGCGAAAAGTCATCTCTAAGGTTTCATCTTTCAGGGATACAGGTCGCCACGACATGAACCGTGAGACTCTTGCTGTGGTCACTCTCCCAGGTGCTCTCCTCTCCTCCACCCCTGCAGGTTTACAGCTTCCCCATAGTTATAATAATCCAACAAGGATGACAATTAGAAGAGAACAACTAATATGTAATATAATTCAAGGTCCACCGCCCTCCACCGGCTGTTTCCCTTCGACTACATGGTCGAGTTCCATCGCTACATCGGCGTTTGGGCTCTTATATGGACGGTGATGCACGTTATTGGCCACGCCATCAATTTCTACCACATCTCCACTCAAACCCCGCCTGATCTTACCTGCCTCTTCAGGGACTACTTCAGGCGGTGAGCTTTTCCATGTGGAACTTATTTTTGTTCATCTGTGACCTCTATTTCAGGCACGTGGACCTCTTCAAGGGGGGCTCCTTGGCGTGGTGAAGAGGCTCTTGGTCTGAGGAATTAGACCTGTCGGACTCCTTCCTCAGACCGAACCTAATTACCCCCCAATCCCCCGTTCCCTATCCCATCCTCCCCATCCTCCCCTTTTTCCTTTCCTCCTCCTCCTCCCCACCCCTCCCTTTTGCCCTTCCTTTTTGGCCTTTTGGATTTATTTTTTCCACAGGCACGCTAGTTCCTAGGTAGGGGAAAGGGTACCGGGGTCCATCCCATTCCGTTGAGGTTCTTGGCGGTGGCGTAGTTTGCCGTGGAATCTGGATTGCCTGGGGATATCCCGATCCCTCTCCGGTATCCCGGAGGGTGGCTTTGGGTGTCTCTCGGGCGACGGGTGTATCTCTGGAGGCCACCTTTCGGATTCCGGGGATGGTGGCCGAAGGAGGTATGCTTTGTGGTGGATTTCCGGCCGCCCTCTTTTGTCCACCGAGGTAGCTCGGCAGATGTGAGGTTGCTATCCCGGATTGCCGGTTTACTGGCATAATGGGTAGGGTATGGCACGGGTTCCATGCTGCATCTGCGCTACTTGCAGTGCTGAGGTCCTCTTGGGCGCGGAGGGAGATTTCTGGCCCTTTCATTCCCCTTGGGAAATATCCCTCCCCCCCGGCCCCCCCCCCTTTTTTTTTTTTTTTTTTTTTTATTTTTAATTTTTTTTTTTTTTTTTCTTTAAAAAAAAAGAAAGAAAATAACCTTTAAACCCTGGCGCCCTTTGTCCAGGAAAAACCCGCTTAAACCCCCCGGGGGTTCTTGATACCCCCACCCTTTTGACCCCCCCCCTCTCTTTGGGAAACCCCTCTTCGGACCCCCTCCCCATGCCTCTTTTACCTCTTTCCCCGGGGGCTGGTTTTCCCCCTACCGTTCAGGGACGAGGGCCTTTGCTGACTTTCCCTTTGATTTATCTGACCTTGCTCTCCTCTGACTAGCTTCCCGGGCCTTCCCTCTACGGGGCGGGAATTTTCCCAACGCCGGGGGCCCTTCCCGTTGGAACCCAATTTGGTCCCCGGGCCCAAAACCCCCCGAAAATTTCCTTTCCGATGAACTTTTTCCCCCCCTTTTCGTTCCCTTTTCAAAAAGATCGACACGTCCCTTACTCCTTTTCCCCCTCAGTTTTTAGACTGCACAATGGACTAAATTCTTCCCCTTTTAAAGACCCACTTCCTCTACTGCCTTCTTTTTACCACAGTATTGGCAAGGCAAATCCTAAGCCATTTTTGGTAAAGATATTTCCCTTTTTTGCTTTAAGAGCGGGACGCCTCACACCTACAGAAAGCACCCCGGGCCCTGAGCTTTCCGTCCCTTTTTTATATCGATACTGTTCCCCCTCAATATTGAAAAAAAATCTTTCCCCCAATTCTTGTAGTGGTACCGTAAATTTTGGCCCCCTAAACCCTAGTTTTAACAAAATTTCCAGAAAAGTGGGGACTGACATTCCCTTGGGAAAAGCGGAAAATCCAAGATCTCCCAAATCCACCAAAGGGAACACTTTTGTTCTTCCCCGCCCCGGGGGGGGAACCCTACCCTAGCAATGTGGTTTTTTAACTTTTGACAGCCTGAAATCCCATCCCAGTTTTGTAAAGGACAAACAAGTTACAATTGGAAAAGGGGATCCCAAAACCGCAAAAGTGTAGAAATTGCTGGCCCATTTGGCCCTCCCGCGAAATATTGCAGATCTATCCCCGAATGCCCAGTCTGTGGTGCCGATGACCATTCTAATACGTCTTGCAATCGACCTCCCTCTTGCCTTAATTGTCATGAGGCTCACCCTTCGTACTCTCGCCGTTGTCAAGTCTACTTAAACGAGCGGGAAATCCGTTACCTCAAAGAGGCAGAAGGTCTCCCTTATGCCATGGCAGTTTCTCATCTCCGCCTCCAAGGGAGACTACCTCGTGTTTCTTATTCCCGTGTTTCAAAACGTCCCCCCACTTCTGGTATCCCATCTTCTGCACCCACCTCTGTGGTTACCTCTCCCATAGTCACTCCTGTAGCTAATTCTTTTGCTGTCCTCGGCTCAGACGTCCCTACTTCAACGTCTCAGTCTGATCTTGCTTCTTCGTGTTCTCTCTCACAAGCCTCAGTAGCGACGAGATCTCGTATGACACCTCCTCCCAATCGTCCCTCTACTTCTCAAAAGTCAAAAAAAGGTCCGTTAACACCTCCTACCCATCTTCCACCTCCTCATTTTCCCTTCCCTGTCTCTGTACCTGGTTCTCCCCCTCTCACTGGCTCTGTTACAAGTGTAGAGGTTCACCCTCCTCCTCGTACTGTACCTTCCTCCCCTGTTCCCTCCCAAGTTTCTTCCTCTTCTGCCACCTCCCAGGTTTCTGCCTCTTCTGTCCCCTTCCACGCTTCTCCAGTTCCCTCCACCCTTTCGCCCCCCCTACCTTGGTACAGTCCATTACAGTTCCAATCTTTACTCATCCTCCCCCTACCATTTCCAATATTGTCTCCCATACGACGTCTCTGAATTCTGAAACACTTGAAGCAATCTCTGAATATATTGCAGAGACCAAACCATCAATGGACACTGATCCACCCTCCGCTCCTTCTCTCTCCTCTACTCCATCTGCGCAACTCCTTTCTTCACAGCGCACCGTTCCTTCGCTGCTTGAACGTTTTCCACTGCCTCCGCATGTGGACTTTTCTAACCCTCTAGTCCGTAGGAACCCTTACCTGCGGATTTCAGGTATCTTTATCATTGCCAATCATGGCCTATTTACAGTGGAATATAGTGGCCCCCGGGGGAAATCGGGGTGAGTTCGATGTTACTCTCCCCGTTTTCCCCTGTTGGGTTTTCTTACAGGAAAACCAAAAAAATTTCACTGCGTTATCTCTCCCATCTCAGGCTTAATTTTTTTGTAATTTTTTCAGGTCCCTTTTCCCCGATGGGTTTTTTTGAAATTTTCCCTTTTTCTACGGGGTGATATTCCGAACCCCTCAGTTTTGTTGTACTTTGCTGCCCTTTTCAAGCAGCCCCCTATCCCCCTTGGAAAAGGGGTTTACAATCTGTTTTTTTTTTGCTCGCCGCCCCCGTTTACTCCGTTCCCCTTCTCTCTTCGGCCTTTTTTCGCTCTTGTCTTCTTTCAAATTACCCAAACCCTTCTATGTTTTAAGTAAAACAAACTCGCTTTTTTCCCCACCCCCCTGGGGGGAAATTCCGGTTGGTCTGTTTTTCTTTTCTCCCCCTTGGGTCGAAAAACCCCCAAAAAATCTTTGGGGCGTTCCCGCTCTCTTTTTCTTTTACCCTTTTTATCACCCTTCTCATGCCCTTGTGTGTTCCGATGGCTCTAAGTTTTGGGGGGCCCTGGTTCCCGAAATGTTTTCCGGGGCAGCGGTAAAAAAGGGCATTTACTATCTTTTTGGGGTTTGTATTTTTACTGCTGAAAATTTTATTTCCATCCTTGCAGGCATTTATCCGTTTTTGCATCTATGCCTGTGTCTTTATTTGGGTTGTTCGGGCCCCTTTTTTGCTTTACAGGGGGTTTCGAAATTTTATAAACCTTTACCCCTTTTTGTCCTCCGTATCCAAAATTTGGGTACGCTGCCCTCTTTACCAAAACATAAAGATATTGTTTTTTGTTGGGGCCTGGTTAAAGTTGACGTACCCGGGCAATGAACAGGCCCAAACTGCTGTTTCAGTCAGCAGTACATGACCTACAATTTCATATAGAAAGGGATTCCAATTTTGGGGCTATTTTTCTTTCAATATCTTCCCCCCCTTTTACACCGGGGCAAACAATGGGTTTGGTTTTACTATGTCGGCAAAAAAATTCAATCTTTTAAACCCCGGGATGGGGTTTTGGCCGTTTTTTTATCACCGTTTTTCGAGGTTGGGAGGGGTTTCTCTCTCCCATCCCTTGCATTGGGCCATTCTCGTTTTACTCATGGATATTCATGGGGAGGCGCCCCCCTCCTCTTTTAGAATTGCCCAAAACTCCCTTATCAGGGCAGCCAATTCTGTTGGACTGCCCACTTTATCAAAGAGCACGCAAAAATTTACCTCCGTTTGTCGTCTTCGCTTTTGTGCTCTCTTTTACCTTCCCTTCTCGCTGATGGCCCCCCCTTTCATTTCCGGGGGCCCCTCTCTTGACTTTTTGGGCAAAAAAACTGACCCCTTTTTCACAAATTCTAAAAACCTTAGCCCCTTTTTACCTTCAAACTTTGGGGTTTCCCCCTACCCCCCTACTATCCCCCCGCCCCGATTTTTTTGTAACCTACTGATCTCCTCCCCCCTTCTGCCACCAAAAACCCCGGGTTCCCTTTCCCCCTCGTTCTGTATAGCCCTTTTGGGTTTGCGCTTTTTTTTTTGATTATAAAAAATAATAGGGGACGTGGAGGGTTTTAAATTTTCCCCCCCTTTTTTTTTTTTATGTGGTTTTTTATTTTTTTTGGGTTTTTTTTGTGGTTTCTTTTTTTTATGGGTTTTTTTATTTTTTTATGGGACTTCTGTTTCAGGTGGGAAAGGTTTCACTGTTTTCCTTGCATTGTACTTTTTTTTTTTATTTGATTTTTTTTAAAAGTCTTGTACAAGCAGCGTATTAGAATTATAAATTTAGTTTTAGTATCTCTTTAAAAAATTTTTCCCTTTTTTTTAATAATCATAGGGGAAAAAAATTTATGTTTTTTATAATAATAATAAAAATAATAGAAATTTAAATTTTTCCCAGTTAAATATCGGGGTTGAAAAGACCTTCCAAGGATTCGTATGCATTTTAAATCAAAAAAAGTGTTTTACTTCCGCAGGCTTCCCATATCCCCTAAAACCCAGCATGTATTTAAACCCCCAAAACACTTTGCGTACCAAAAGAACCCAACCTTTTATGTTCCCCCCTAACCCTTCTAGGATTCTCCCCACTCACTCAACTATAGCATGTATAGTTCCCACAAGATTCACGTGTCTGCTAAGCTACTACCTGTATACCCTTCCAGCATGTAAACAACCTCCGAACCATGTACTTTCCACATATACACTAAATCACTCTCTAAATACTCCCACAGTACCCACGTACTGCCGAAGTTCCACTACTGGTGTTGGGAAACCATCACTGGCCTGACGGGGGTCTTCCTCACCCTTCAAACTGCTGTTATCTACATCTACGCATTCTTCGGCAGGAGGCACTTCTTCCCTTACTTCTGGATGACGCACAACTCTTACCCAATTTTTTATTTTCTCTTCGTTCTTCACGGCTCTGGAAGGCTGGTTCAGGTCTGTTGTGAGCTAATATAGTTCTTTCGTTCGGTGCTGCGGGGGTTATATATGACTATTTATGACAGCACAATGAAGTAAGCTCTTTTGTTAAGGTCCTTTGTGTCGTGATTTCATTTTTTTAAACGATTGAAACTGTGCAAACAAAATTGAAGAACGCATACAATGAAGGTCTTTCCATGCACAATTCAACTGGATTTGCTGTTTCAATCAGATCTACAAAAAATTTCAATATATATAGAGGAACTTTATGAGAGACCTTACTGTACTAATAAAATTAATAATATAAATAATCAACAATATGTCAGTTATATAATAAATCAGTAATATAATAATAATGTTGGTGAATAATTATTGTTTTATTCCCGCAGCCTCCATTCTTCCACTTTTTCTTCCTTGGTCCGTGTATTCTCTTCGTCTTAGACAAGTTGGTCTCTATCTCAAGGAACAAGATCAAGATAGATGTCATAAGCGTCCAGCATCTGCCCTCCAGTGAGTTTAGTCATTAATTCTAACTACATACAGGAATTTACTGTATTATAATTATTATATTCATTAGAAAGTGCTAATTCCGAGTATATGAAGGTACACCAGAGAAATATAAGGGAAACAGCATGGGTTACAAGAGAGTACCGAGGAGAAACAGAATGGGACAGAGTAGATAAACAGCAAGGGATACACTAGTAATGTAGAGAAACAGCAAGGGTGCACTAGTAATGTAGGAAAACAGCAAAGGATACAGTAAATAACAAAAAGGCACAATACCGTGACTGGAACGATACACAAATAACCCGCACATAAAAGAGAAGCTTACGACCATTGACAAAGTCACACTGTGACTTTGTCAATGGTCCAAGTCGGACCGAAACGTCGTCGTAAGCTTCTCTCTTTTATGTGCGGGTTATTTGTGTAAAGGATACAGTAGCGAAGAAGTGGGGCCAGGAGCTCTGAATAAGTCCCTGCATCCACAAACAGGCGAGTACTAGTAACGTAGGGAAACAGTGTGGGATACATTGGACCAGTGGTTCTCAAACTAGCAGCCATTTCCAGATTTTAGGGAGGCCACGCATGATTAAAATAAGTTACAGAAGTTGCAAGAAACTCTGGGAAATCTGAAGTGAATAACATTTTTATTTATATTTTGACTTAGGGGAGAATGTCACTTCTTATTGATCATTTTGTTTTAATAATCAAAATGCCAATGCAGTTTTAATATTTACAAATTACGGTGCTAGCCACTTTTAAAGGATGAGCTCAGATTACACGGGTGCAGTGTCTGAATGACTAGTACTGGATTGAGCCACTGAACTTAAGTGTCCAAGTACACTTGTGTATCATCACTCTGAAAAGGTAATCGAGCAAACCATCTCAGTCTCCCATAGGATATCTTTATTATTATGGGAAGAGCTAATCTCGAGGGACTATACAACTCTGGGATATCATTGGGAAAGCATGTGAATGTGCTTGTCTCTTGAGAGTTATATTGCACACAATCTATTTCCACATCGTTGTGTGACTATTCTGTTTTACATGGTTACTGTTTAACATGTGTGAAATATTTGTACACATCCATTTTTTTCTTTTAAATACCTGTCACTATTGTGCATCACTATTCTTTACATATATTTTTTTTTGTGCTTGACTGATGTGACTCACTTTAATATTGCACTAAATTTACGTACGTGTGTTTGACTTTTATATACGGTGTACATTTTGGAAAAAAAACTGAAGGGTGACTATGAAAATTTTAATGGTTTCTCTAGATGGGCCCTGAGTAAAAAAAAAAAAGAGAACCATTGTATTAGAGAATGGAAAATAAAAGATTATGAATAGAAATGGCGTTGGATACACTAATGTGAGGAAGTAGCGAGGGATATACTGCTTAGGGAATAATGTGGGATACACTAATATAGGGAAACAGCATGGGATACACTAATGTAGGAAAATAGCATGGGATACACTAATATAGGAAAACAGCATGGGATACACTAATATAGGGAAACAGTACTGGATATACTAGAGTAACGTAGGGAAAGAACCTTTGAATAGCAAGGATAAACTAGCCACTACCATCAACAGTATTTTTTTTTTCTTATTCGTCGGTATTCTCCCGGCCTGGGTCTTTTCCAAGTAGTGGTGACCCGGCCTTGGTTTCCCATCTGGGGAGTATCTCGAGACCTAAGTCTCCCATGGGAGGTACAACTACCCCCTCATCTTTGGGACCAACTGTCCCCAGGCCTAGCCACATCCCCCGCCCTCACGGGGCTCGTAGAGAGAAGCTAGGCCTCTGGTCTGCCATCTACCTCGCCTCAAAGGGGCTCGTGGGGATGGCAGTCTTATGAGCAGCAGGTGGTAGCAAGCTCAGGCCTCATCCACAGTATAAATATGGGATTTATAATAAAATTAGTTTTTTCCTATCAAAAAGCTAAAATTTTTACCATGTTTACATGTGAAACTCTAAGCCCACGGCAGTCCGTCGGTACAAGAAATGTAGAAGCGATCCTCTGTTAATACAACTTTGTTCTTCCTAGATGTTGTTCGCCTCGAGATCAGACGACCGCCCAACTTCAGCTTCCAGTCTGGTCAGTGGGTCAAGATTGCCAGTATAGGCATAGGAGAACAGGTTTGTGAATATTGTTATTAGATTAATGGGAAAATGGTAAATATTATGAATTGTTCAGTGAATAGGTAATGTGAGAGCTGGTGTAATATCACGGGCGAGAAGGCCAGCGCTTTCATAGCCCCGATATGGAATAGTTGTAAGGTAAGACTGGACATAACTTGCGCCTCACTACTTACTATACATTATGGGGGACTTTGCTCAGTTCTACTTAACTGGGTACTCATCACTGAGTTTTATTACTGAATAAAAAAAATAAAGGCGAAGAAAGTGAATACTATCTTTAACATTATGGCAGTTTATTAATACATACTTATTTCAATACCATACTTGGATACTGAGGAAGATATCTAATTCTAGGAATAAACCAGATGTGGCGTGCCTATCTCAAATATCATAAGAAACTGAATACAAATAACAGTCCTTAGTAGATTACTCTAGCAGACCAGTTACGCTCCTAGCGGCTGTATGCCCGACAGAGTCTGGCCACCAATTATTCTACTGGCTACTTTCCAATAGCTCATAAAGACCTGTATACCCTAGTTAACTCCTGGCTAGAGGCGTCAGCTCTCTTGGGGAAACTCACCACTTGGTCTCCACGGAGCTTAGATTTATTTCCTTAAAGGGAACCGATGTGTGAAGATCAGCCTGGATTCCTATTTTTATTGATATTAACTGGAGTTCCACTTTCAAGATGTCACACTGGGAGTAATAAAGTTTGATATGAGGAGGAGGAGGAGGAATGCAGTTATTCACCACAGTTATTCACCAGCACCACCAAAATCAACAGCCATTCTTCAACAAATATCCCTCGAGGGAATAATCGTTGAGAAATTTCAGAGCCGTAGAGGTCCTACAGGCCTGGAAAAATAGACGTAATCAGGTTTGATCCAAGAAAGAAAAAGGTAACTTGAACTCTCTGAATCAAGAGCGTTTCACTAACATCTTTGATAATGCTTGTGAAGGGGCGCCATGAGTACACTAAAAGTCAGAAGTGTCGGTGGCCCAAGACTGTTCAACTGCCTCCCAGCATACATAAAGGGGATTACTAATAGACCCTTGGCTGTCTTCAAGAAACTGGACAGGCACCTAAAGTCAGTACCTGACCAGCCGGACTGTGATTCGTACGTCGGTTTACGTGCGGTCAGCAGTAACAGCCTGGTTGATCAGGCCCTGATCCATCGCAAGACCTGGTGATGGCCTGGGCCAGGGGGAGTTGATCTCCGAAACACCTTTCAGATATACTCCAGGTAAGGATTAATTCTTCGCACAGATTTCTAATTGTATTGCGCAAGATACAATAAATGGGAAGCCTCACGTGTTTTAGGGAGCCATTGAGGAAAGCAGGAGGAGGCACGTCTCACCTCAGTTAACAGCCTCAAGTGAATGAGGACAAATGGTCGCGGGCTGTTGGTATAATGTTCGCCAAGACCGGAGTCCTGGCACGGGTCTTAATCTTGCGATGACCCGTCTCTGGCTCTCAAAGGAGAAAGAGTTCTGCAATGTTGCAACGTATGGTGATTAAGCATGGTCGTGGGCGACGGTAGTGTACCACAACTACCACCGACATGTGGCAGCACTGAGAGTGATGCGCCTGTGATGGAATTTAAATAGCTACACATCAAGGTACCCTACCGGGGGGAGCAAGGTGTCCCGTAGTTCGATCGCTAGCGCACTCAGCTCACACGCTGAGGTCCGGGGATCGATTCCCCGGTACGGCTGGAAAATATTAGGACGTGTTTCCATAAGACACCTGCTGTTCATGTTTACCCATCAGTAAAATGGGTATGTGGGTGTTAGTCGACTGTTGTGGGTCGCATCCTGGGACAAAATTGACCTAATTTGCCCGAAAAGCTCTGTATAACAAGCGGCTTCTATATAGTAGTATGTCAGTGATGTCAGCTAGGTATGTATACCTTGTAAATGTACTTGAATATATTATTATTATTATTATTATATTATTATTATTATTATTATATTATTAAAGGCGAGGAGTAAAGGGAAATGTTTGAATTCTACAGAAGCGTTTGAAGGCTTGATCGTCCATCCACTATTCACAAACAAATATTTCTCTCGCCGCTAGGCTTATATTTGGCTTCTACTTGTGATTTTTTTTCTTTTTTTTTTTTTGCTTTACATGTGTGTGTGTGTGTGTGTGTGTGTGTGTGTGGGTGGGAGGAACACTTTTTTTATGGGGGAGGAGGGGGGGGGGGGGACTTTTAGCTCCTAGCTGCACATCTTAAAACAATTTCTGGCATTAATGTTTCCTGGCTGCTCTAACCCAGTCATACCTACTTTTGTAGATATTAAGTTGGCCTATCCCATTTCCTTATAAATCTCATTCAGCTTATCACCCCCGATACTAAAAAAACAAAAGCTGATCAATGTCTATAGTTTCCATTTGCGACGCTTCACCCATGTGCGTCGCATTTTAAAGTCTGTCCTCATCTGCTGCACCACATAATCTGTGTTTCACTGATGGCTAGAGAGGGTGGATAGGGGGGGACTCTAAGTTAGCCTACCTTCAAGGCAAATTTTATGTTTTCAGTTAATTTTTCCAGGCATGCCAAACAGCATGACTAGCTTTTTTAATAATTAGTGGCCTAACCCATTTCCTCTATAAACTCATTGCAGTTTACAAAAAAAAAAAAGTGATATGTCATTTTTCATTTGCGAGCTTAAGTGCGTGTTTTTAAAGTCTGTCCTACTCTGCACTCCAGTATTTTTTCACTGATGAGTTGAGAGGATGTATGGGGGGACTCTGAAGAGGTTAAATCCTACCTTCCAGCAAATTTTTAGTGTGCTTTCGGTTTTAAAATTTACACATTGGTTAAAATCTGATAGATAATTTTATCAAACTGAGGCATTAGTGAACAGTTCGTAATCCGATATCTCGCGCTGTCTAATAATAATAGCTAATAGGATGAGATTCCATTGCTGGTCTACATACTAGATGCTCATGTATGAGTTCCATGCTGTGCTCCATTATTATTTCTCTGGCATAGTTCCCATGTGGCTACATTACTAGTGCTCATGGAGAGTTCCCATGCTGTCTCACACTACTAGTTGCTCAGGATGAGTCCTGCGGTTCTCCACACATACGTATGTGATATAATCTGCTCATGGATGAGTTCGCCATGCTGAGTCTCACCATTATAGATGCTTCATCGGATATTTCCCCTGCTGGTCTCACCACTACTAGATGCTCATGGATGAGTTCCCATGCTGGTCTCACCACTAGATGCTCATGAATTTCCATACTGGTCTCGCCACTACTAGATGCTCATGAGCTCCCATTCTGGTCTCGCCACTACTAGATTCTCATGAGTAGCAGTACTATTAGTCACAGGGAAGCACCAGGCCTGTTGGAATCATACAGCATCAGTCGCTAGCGCACTCAGCTCACACACCGAGGTCTGGAGATCGAATCTCCGGCACGGCTGGAAAACATTAGAATGCGTTTCCATGTGACTCCTGCTATCCCTATTCACCCATCAGCATAAAATAGGTACCTGGGTGTTAGACTGGTGTGGGCCTCACCCTGGGACAAAACTAACCTAATTTGCCCGAAATGCCCAGAGCATAACAGCGGCTTTCTATATAGTAGTATGTCATTGACATCAGCTAGGCCTGTGTACCTTGTACATGTAATTCTAGAAATAAAATGTATTATAAAAGGGAAGCAGTCCTGTTTTATCCAAGGTGACAATAACTTCAATTCCCATGATCGAATCTTTCACCGGCATCAAGCCATCTCCTCCATCTTAAAGGGACAAGAAGCATGGAAATACGCAACCTATAATTAGTAACAGTAACCACTTGCTTCCTTCAAGAAGAGTACTGATGGTATCTTGAACTGATGAAGGGGAACTTCTCTGTCCTTCTTCATCCCAAGCCTCATTACCTTCCATATTCAAGCCTCCCCTTCCTTATCTCAAGTCTCATTATCACCCATATTCATTTCAGTGAAATGCTTATATACTCGCACATTTTATATATTTAAATATATAAAATCATACTTAACAGTGATCAGATAAATTTGAAATAGCTGAAAAAAATGCGTGCAAGTAGAGATCCTCTTCTCTAGTCCTGTCTGTTTACTACTACTACTATCTCTCTCTCTCTCTCTCTCTCTCTCTCTCTCTCTCTCTCTCTCTCTCTCTCTCTCTCTCTCTCTCTCTCTCTCGGAATCTCACTCTCTCTCTCTCGTCTACAGGAGTACCATCCCTTCACATTATCTTCAGCACCTCAAGAGGAGAACCTCACGTTACATATTCGAGCTGTGGGACCGTGGACCAGGAAGCTGGCAGAAGTGTACCAGGAGCAAGACAAACATCAGAAATATCACCAAGTGAGTGGTTATACATAATATCCCCAACACCCACAGGTGAGGAATAAAGGGTATTCATAGGTTAGTGAATATAAAAACACCAGCAAGTGAGCAAATACACTTACAACTATTGTATTTCAGGTGTTATAAAAGCATAAAGTTACTGGATGTGAGTGGAACGCAACGATCTAAGTGAATCTTGTTAGTAGAGGAATCTGAAGTCATGTCGAATTTATTTTAACAGATAATGATTTAATATTTTCTAAGACGAGTCGGGATGCTTCGACATGAGTGGAATATCTATTCAAAATATGTTAAGATATATTGATTTATTTATGTGAACTCACTGGAGTTCCTTAACTTGATTGATGCCTATTGGAGCCTACATGGCTTCTGATTTCCTTGCCTCACTTAACGAAGAAAAGACAGGTTGCGGAATGAGCTTTTGTTGGGACTACGTTTCGTTCTTCGTAGGACAATAAAAAAAAGTCGTCCCAACAAAAGCCTGTGCAGCAACAAGTCTTTTTTTAATCTTTGCTACTGCAGACGTTACGCCATTGGAATCCACTTCCTCTCCTAGCATTAAACCATTCACTCCTCAATCGTCGAAGTTATTTCTAGCGCCTCAGTGTCATATCTGGATGCGTATCTTCGCTCAGTGTGTCTTCGCTCCCTCGCTTCCCCTCAATTCAAACAAAATATCCATGCAGACTGAGATTTTCAAGGTCCTGTGAGCGTAACATGGAATCTTGCGGTCATGAACCTGAGTTAGTGCCACTGCCACGTATTTTTTTCTGTACGACGGTGTCACCCAAATATTGAAGTGATGAAGTTTACTTAAGTTGGTCATATTATAATCATAACTAAGCGCTAAACCCACAAGGGACAGTTGGTCATAATAGGCTCATACGATTGCAATGAGCAACTCAATAAAGTCTTAACGTTCTTCGTGCAGGGGTAAATGTGTGATAATGTAAATGCAGAGGCAACAGGAGAATAAGAAGCAGAAGAAAATTTGAGGCTGGAGAACAAGGTTAAAATCTCGGGCATAGCAAAGAAGTGTAGTTAATTTCCACTGAGATTCTTTAAGTCTTTCCAAGGATGAAATCAACAGTTGACTAGCATCCAGTCAGCTTCCTGCTCCGCCCAGGACTGAATCCGGGTTCTGTGGTCTTAAGCTGAATGCAATACACGATCATGTCCACTTGAAATCTGCTATTAATGAAACTGAGTATAGCCAAAAAGTATAATGACAGCAGTACACTACAGGATTTTCACTATCACGGTGTGTGTGTGTGTGTGTGTGATGTGTGTGTCGTTGTGTCTATAATGGTCTCTTCAATACGTTCCTCTTTTGATACACTGCTGATAAATATATTTTTAACCAAATCACAAATAATGAATAACACAGAAGACAGTTTGAGATAAGACGAAGATATTTGTTTTCACTAAGGTATTTCAGTATTAGTACCACTAATAGTATTATCAGATATATAGTATTGTTAATAATAAATGATAAATATGTATAATATATTATGTTAATACCTTATAATATATATATATAATAGAAATTCAAAGATTTTTTATTCACTGGGAAGCGCTAAATCCTCATGTGCCGAGGAAGTTGGAAGTAATCAGGTTTGATCCATGAAAAGGTGGATTGCTCTAAAATCGCGGATCAAGAGCCCCTCACCAGGTATCAAGGCATCCCTTTCCCGTGTCGAGGGACGATGTATAGCCAACAGAATGGTTAGAACAGGTGCAAATGCCGAGCAAAACGTGTAACGAGACTACCTTTCGCTCGTACAACCTTTCAGATCAATACAAAATGATACACCGCATGTTTTTACCAGCATCAGGTAAAGTGTGAGTAGTGGAGGAGGTGAGGTAAAGCCAGCAGGGTGCCTAGTGCCTAGGCCAGGAAGCACAGCAGGGTGCCTAGTGCCTAGGCCAGGAAGCACAGCAGGTTGCCTAGTGCCTAGGCCAGGAAGCACAGCAGGTTGCCTAGTGCCTAGGCCAGGAAGCACAGCAGGTTGCCTAGTGCCTAGGCCAGGAAGCACAGCAGGTTGCCTAGTGCCTAGGCCAGGAAGCACAGCAGGTTGCCTAGTGCCTAGGCCAGGAAGCACAGCAGGTTGCCTAGTGCCTAGGCCAGGAAGCACAGCAGGTTGCCTAGTGCCTAGGCCAGGAAGCACAGCAGGGTTGCCTAGTGCCTAGGCCAGGAAGCACAGCAGGGTGCCTAGTGCCTAGGCCAGGAAGCACAGCAGGTTGCCTAGTGCCTAGGCCAGGAAGCACAGCAGGTTGCCTAGTGCCTAGACCAGGAAGCACAGCAGGTTGCCTAGTGCCTAGGCCAGGAAGCACAGCAGGTTGCCTAGTGCCTAGGCCAGGAAGCACAGCAGGTTGCCTAGTGCCTAGACCAGGAAGCACCGCAGGTTGCCTAGTGCCTGGGCCAGGAAGCACAGCAGGGTGCCTAGTGCCTGGGCCAGGAAGCACAGCAGGGTGCCTAGTGCCTAGGTCAGGAAGCACAGCAGGGTGCCTAGTGCCTGGGCCAGGAAGCACAGCAGGGTGCCTAGTGCCTGGGCCATGAAGCACAGCAGGGTGCCTAGTGCCTGGGCCAGGAAGCACAGCAGGTTGCCTAGGCCAGGAAGCACAGCAGGGTGCCTAGGCCAGGAAGCACAGCAGGGTGCCTAGTGCCTAGGCCAGGAAGCACAGCAGGTTGCCTAGTGCCTAGGCCAGCAGCACAGCTGGTTGCCTAGTGCCTAGGCCAGGAAGCACAGCAGGTTGCCTAGTGCCTAGGCCAGGAAGCACAGCATGTTGCCTAGTGCCTAGGCCAGGAAGCACAGCAGGTTGCCTAGTGCCTAGGCCAGGAAGCACAGCAGGTTGCCTAGTGCCTAGGCCAGGAAGCACAGCAGGTTGCCTAGGCCAGGAAGCACAGCAGGGTGCCTAGTGCCTAGGCCAGGAAGCACAGCAGGGTGCCTAGTGCCTAGGCCAGGAAGCACAGCAGGTTGCCTAGTGCCTAGGCCAGCAGCACAGCTGGTTGCCTAGTGCCTAGGCCAGGAAGCACAGCAGGTTGCCTAGTGCCTAGGCCAGGAAGCACAGCATGTTGCCTAGTGCCTAGGCCAGGAAGCACAGCAGGTTGCCTAGTGCCTAGGCCAGAAAGCACAGCAGGTTGCCTAGTGCCTAGGCCAGGAAGCACAGCAGGTTGCCTAGTGCCTAGGCCAGGAAGCACAGCAGGTTGCCTAGTGCCTAGGCCAGGAAGCACAGCAGGTTGCCTAGTGCCTAGGCCAGGAAGCACAGCAGGTTGCCTAGTGCCTAGGCCAGGAAGCACAGCAGGTTGCCTAGTGCCTAAGCCAGGAAGCACAGCAGGTTGCCTAGTGCCTAGGCCAGGAAGCACAGCAGGTTGCCTAGTGCCTAGGCCAGCAGCACAGCAGGTTGCCTAGTGCCTAGGCCAGGAAGCACAGCAGGTTGCCTAGTGCCTAGGCCAGGAAGCACAGCAGGTTGCCTAGTGGTTAGAATTTAGGAAAAACGCCTAAAGAAAAATCAAAGGCATAAATCCAGGAAAATATCCATGAAAAACCTATTGCCATGCCAGAACTTTGTGGAGCTTACGTAGCTTTGTATAATTTTTAATTTGTTTTCCTTCAGTGATTCTTCCTACAGACAGAAATTAGGCAACACGGTGGGTTCACATTATTAGTATTGTGTTGGCAAACCTGTACATGGATTCACATGAGGCCTGGTATTTTCCTATCTTAGTCCCGAAACCGATAACATGGCTTTGCTACGTACACAATATTCTTCTTAGGGATTCCTATCATAGCTTCTAGAAAACTCAACCTAGACAACTTCAGAAGTAACCTTAACACAAACACTGTACAGCCCACTTTTGAAGAAACAGACGATAGTCTTCCTTTCCTTAAAGTTCTGCTCATCAAACAAGAGTGCCTCCTTTAGTTCTCGTACACGCTAACCTACAACAAAATTGAACTTAGACATTGCTATTCGCACCACGACTTGAGGAAACAACGAGGCACGTTCTTTGGCTTTTCCCCTCAGAGTCTACATGATATCCAGCTCCAAGTTTTTCAAAAATATCCGAGACTGTAGGAACCAGCACATAAAATACTCGTCGTCCCCAAAGAAGATTCCTTCAGGCAACTATGGAATACGTCGCATCACCCTCTGTAATAACACAGAAGCCAGAGTCATAACATTGACAGACAACCCCGACCGCTTGGGTAACAACAGAGCAGAGGTCTAACACCATGCCTTGTGGAGCATGTCATAATAAATATGTAGATGAGACGTCCCACAGTCTGGAGTTAGGATATAGGAACACCAGTGTGCATGTTGAAGGCACAACATGAATAATGCATGTGTTAGACACAGACTAAAAGGAAACACCTGATGTCCTGGAAAGATGCCGAATTAATATTTAGAGACAAAATATAACGAAAATTACTGAAGGCTATCCTGATCTGTACACACAATACCACTGAACACAAAGAGGAACCTTCCAGCTTAGCTAAACCTTTAACTCTTTGTTCTGTTACAAAAATAGAAACAAATCGTACCATACACACACACCATGTTGTATCTAGTAGGCATCACGTAGTACTCCACGACCTAACCAATAGGTTTCCTATAATTTTCCACTGCTTGCCGCAGATTCCATGATCTCACACCTCACCTTCCCAACTACTCACCTGGACCTTCATGCTGGTATAAACTTGCGTCCTGTGTATTATTTTGTATTGAATTGAAAAAGTCTGTTAAGCAGACTAAACGTTGTCCGAATAAATGGTTTCCTCTGCATTTGTGCTTCAATTATCTTTCCCTTCATGGACGGTGGTAAAGATACGGAATATTAAAGAAGCATAAAACAATTATAAAAATTATTAATTTATTCATGTGGAAGCTGAACATATGAGAGTTATACGACACCTGAGAAATGAGAGGATGGGAGGGTAGCTCTAATTCCTTGGATCAAGAGCCCTTGACCAGCATGGAGGCAGGGACCCTTAGAGAGAGAGAGCACGGAGATCTAACAACCTTTACTATCTTTTGCAAGATTCTTATGGACGGACCTTTCGGTGAGGGTCATCAGACGTGGTGGGACTACGAGGTGGTGGTGCTGGTGGCTGGAGGGATTGGCGTCACCCCTTTCTCGTCCATCCTGAAGGACATTGCCCACAAACTCCAGAACTCCAAGTCTCTCCTGAAGACCAAGAAGGTAAGTGGATTCAGGATACACTCTCCTGAAGACCAAGAAGGTATATGGTTCATGATACACTCTCCTGGAGACCAAGAAGGTAAGTGATTCAGGATACACTCTCCTGAAGACCAAGAAGGTAAGTGGTTCAGGATACACTCTCCTGGAGACCAAGAAGGTAAGTGGTTCAGGATACACTCTCCTGGAGACCAAGAAGGTAAGTGGTTCAGGATACACTCTCCTGAAGACCAAGAAGGTAAGTGGTTCAGGATACACTCTCCTGGAGACCAAGAAGGTAAGTGGTTCAGGATACACTCTCCTGGAGACCAAGAAGGTAAGTGGTTCAGGATACACTCTCCTGGAGACCAAGAAGGTGAGCGAGTCAGCATACACTGCCGCTGGATACAAAGGCGAAATGCCGATGTTAATAAAGACATTTGGATTGCATTAGCTCAAGAAACTGACGTGATGGTAAAGAAACTCTAATGTATACATGGAGTATACCTGGAGGGGGTTTTGGGGATCAATGCCCCCGCAGACCGGTCTGTGACCAGGCCTCATGGTGGATCAGAGCTGATAACTAGGTTGTTAACTGTTGGCCGCACGCAAACCGACGCACGAACCACAGCCCGGCTGGTCAAGTGCTTACCAGCCCACGTTGTAAGCTTGATAAAAGCTCGTCTGTGGGTGAGCAAGCTCGCTGCCTGAGCAATTCTCCGTTAATACAGATTCACGTGTAAGCTTGATAAAAGTCTTGTGTGAGCAAGTGTGTAGCAATTCTCCGTTAATACAGTCGTGTGTTAGTCTGATTTTATGTGTTGTGTTGAGCGAAATGTGATAGTATAAGCTCATTCTGCACCCTTGTTTCATCTACAAAGGTCTAGGATGGACCGAAACGTAGTCTAGAGTTTCAGCTGCATTTTGTGGTTTGGTTGTGAATTTTTCTAGCCACGGTATTGTTGCTTGTATTCTTCATGAATGAAGGTGATTCTTACTGTGATGGTTCTGGGGACTGTAAAGTTTCTGACGTGAAGGCAGACGGATTGGACTATCTTCGTGACGTGCTGGTAGGGTTCTTCAGCTTCAATGATTCTTCCCCAGATCTGAGGATTAAGACGCACGAAGAGAGGCTGGAGGAACTAAACCTGAGGATACTGGAGGACAGAAGGATCAAAGATGACAAGATTACGCTGTACAAAATACTCAGAGGAATTGACCGAGGGGACAGGGAGAGTGAGAATCAAGTCTCGGGTAAAAAAGGTCACTTCTGGAATGCTTTTAGCTTTCCAGCAGTGACCTCACAGGGATGTTAACCTCAGAGTGGTCAGGAAATGGAACGATCTAAACAGCGTAGTAGTAGAGACAGAATCCATACATAACTTTAAGAATAGGACTCACGCAGCCAGGAGAGTGAAATCAATAGCAACCAGAAGAGTGGCGGTCCAGGAGCTGAGACTAAATATCTTCAAATACACACACCTATTAAGAGTGGCCACGAGCCGAGACTAGACATCTTCAATTACAATTAGATGAATACACACACATACTAGGCATGATCAGGAGTGGAGTCTCGACCCCGCAATATATAACTCGGTGAGTATACACACACACACACAAAAAAAAAAAAAACACAAAACGCACCCAAACACAAGCACACACAAACACACTACAAGTTTCCTACACGTAAACGCTCGGATAAAAGAAGCTGGCTTGCCCTAACACAGAAAACAGGAAACAGTCAGGAATAAAGTGGTCTAACTTGCCTTACATATAGCCAGCATAAACTTTATATTAAAACTTGTTAAAATACTTTTCCTGCGACGAGAAATTGGCCAATTAAACTATAGAATTGCTTTCTCAACTGAAATTTTGTGATTTTCTTTACAAGTTTGAGGATTTTTCTTTTGTGGACTTGGTCCCAAGCAAGGGGAAAATTGATCACTTGTCTTACTGGGAGCCGGATTTTTTTTAAGCTTCTTAATTTGTAGACTAAGTGCCCTTCAAGATGGGCGCCTTGATATCAGTGAAGGGCTATTTAATCAAGGAAGAGCAGCAGAATTCGCAATAATGTTTTCAAAATTTGGCAAATTTGTATCTGTAAAAATCACACACTGGCTTCACTTACTCCATTTCTTTGTGATCAACGCTTTAAACATGAACTTTTATTCCCTGCTAACTCCTTCCTTCCCTGCTAACTCCTTCCTTCCCTGCTAACTCCTTCCTTCCCTGCTCACTCCTTCCTTCCCTGCTCACTCCTTCCTTCCCTGCTAACTCCTTCCTTCCCTAACTCCTTCCTTCCCTGCTAACTCCTTCCTTCCCTGCTAACTCCTTCCTTCCCTACTAACGCTTTCCTCCATACTGATTATTTCCCTCGTGTTAACTTCTTTCTCCTGCAGGTGATCTTCCTGTGGACAACAAGGAGCCAGAAGCAATACGAGTGGATGACGGACATCCTGAGGGAGGTGGAGACGCTGGACAAGTACAATATCATCAGAAACCACATCTTCATCACTCAGTTCAAGAGCAAGTTTGATCTACGTACCATCATGCTGGTTAGTGTAGAGGAGATAAAAAGAGTGAGAAAGGGGTAGGAAAGGGAAAGGGTAGGTAAGTAGTCTTGAGGTTTTAAGAGTTCTTTGACCAGGAAGATCATCCAATACTCTTAGTAATAAAAATAAATGCAACGTGCATTACACCAGAGGTAAAAACAACAACCAGTTGCCTAGCCAAGACTGGCTCTGGGGCGCTGCCGTGAATCATGTCTGCGTAGAGGTAATCAGGAGTCGCTTTCACAAAGGAACAAGGAGAGGAAGCTGGTGTCTCAACAGACATTAATGTTAAATGATACAGGAAAGCAGAATAGAAGTGGAGATAGAAGGAAATAGGAGACTAATAAAAATTAATCTCTACCTTGACGCTATTACCCCATACTCTCCAACTGCGACGAACAGTGTCACCTTTTATCAGGGATCGCCTCTTGGAGCACAGCACCATGATTGCTCGCGTGAATTAACCGAGCAAGGCCAAGCAAAACTGCCTATTTAGACTGGGAGCACCAGAGGCTCTGGCATCACATGGCTAGTAATAGACAAGTGTCAACCGGCAGGAATGAGAGTTGTACAACTACAATCACCGCTACTGGAGCCACAGATGACCTCCGGTTACATTTTCCCCGCCAGACAGTAACCGGGTATAACCTTCGATGCTCTACAATGATTAGGTCATGTTTTCCCGCCAAAGTGGCTAGTTTATCGTGCATCCCATATCCATTATGTGGATGATAATGCAAGAACATATGGATACACAAAAAGCCTAGGAACTAGACCCCAGAAAAGGGTTAACAGGATTACATCTGGATTTATATCTTCAGTTCACTTATCTTTTGCAAGGAAATTTAGAAAATTTGCTGAATATGTCTGGTATCGTATTTTCATTAACAAGATTTCTTGACATACCACATATACTTTTATACTGCCATTATAATCCCCAATAAGTGAATAACTGAGCACACAGTATTTAAGGGAGACCGCTAGAAGGTCCAGTCACATTTGGTCACTGTGATCACCTCGGCACTGCAACTGCTGGATGAACAAGGAGAGTGACACACAGTGACCCATTCCTTGATTTTCTGGAGCCAAATTTAACAAGTAAAAAAAAATCCGTTTTATTTAGGCCAAGAGGGTACTGAGTTATTGATTAGACTAAGCCGCTTAAATACATCACCACGATAAGATAATCTAACGTCGGGGAGAAGGTTGAAAGAGAGTGAAAAAAGGGGAGTAGGAGAGGGGAGGGAGGTGGGGAGGGTAATGAGAAGGGAGAGGGGGAGAGGAGGTGTATGAAATGCTAGATGGGGAAATGAAAGAGAAAGGACAGTGAAGAGAAAAAGAAAGCGGTAATTAAAGGAAAAATGATTGACTCTGAAACTGGATAGTTGACGGAGGACCCACGAGAGGAAAGTAGCGTAGTACACGAGAGGAAAGTAGCGTAGTACACGAGAGGAAAGTAGCGTAGTACACGAGAGGAAAGTAGTGTAGTACACGAGAGGAAAGTAGCGTAGTACACGAGAGGAAAGTAGCGTAGTACACGAGAGGAAAGTAGTGTAGTACACGAGAGGAAAGTAGTGTAGTACACGAGAGGAAAGTAGCGTAGTACACGAGAGGAAAGTAGCGTAGTACACGAGAGGAAAGTAGCGTAGTACACGAGAGGAAAGTAGCGTAGTACACGAGAGGAAAGTAATGTAGTACACGAGAGGAAAGTAGTGTAGTACACGAGAGGAAAGTAGTGTAGTACACGAGAGGAAAGTAGCGTAGTACACGAGAGGAAAGTAGCGTAGTACACGAGAGGAAAGTAGCGTAGTACACGAGAGGAAAGTAGTGTAGTACACGAGAGGAAAGTAGCGTAGTACACGAGAGGAAAGTAGCGTAGTACACGAGAGGAAAGTAGCGTAGTACACGAGAGGAAAGTAGCGTAGTACGCGAGAGGAAAGTAATGTAGTACGCGAGAGGAAAACATCAAGGATGAGCTCAGGATCAAGAAAGAGCTCAGGATCAAAAACTCAGGATCAAGAAGAGCTCAGGATCAAGAGTTCAGGATCAAGAGCTCAGGATCAAGAAGAGCTCAGGATCAAGAAAGAGCTCAGGATCAAGAAAGAGCTCAGGATCAAGAGCTCAGGATCAAGAAAAGCTCAGGATAAAGGATGAGCTCAATATCAAGGATGAGCTCAGGATCAAGAAAATGTTACCTCCTGGCGATACAAAACCACTGCCACTGCCTCACTTTCGATAAAAAAAAGTCGAGGTCAGGATAAAAAGCCAAACTTCTTTGTTCTCAGTTCCGCCTGACTCATCTGCCAGAAATAAAATAAATGTTTGGTGATAATCGGGAATCTTGGAAGGAATTCTTGGGGTCATAATGGGAAATGCAGTAGTAGCAGCGTGTCAGTTTTATGATTAGTGGACGGAGAATCGAGCCTCCACAGGGTCAGGAGAGGAGACTCGACACTGACAAACAAATCAGTGAGTACACACACACACACACACACACACACACACACACAGGTTAAGGGAAGGTTAAGGGAAATCAACCTGACGACACTGGAGGACAGGAGAGATAGGGGGGACATGATAACGACATACAAAATACTGAGAGGAATTGACAAGGTGGACAAAGACAGGATGTTCCAGAGATGGGACACAGTAACAAGGGGACACAGTTGGAAGTTGAAGACACAGATAAATTACAGGGATGTCAGGAAGTATTTCTTCAGCCACAGAGTAGTCAGGAAGTGGAATAGTTTGGGAAGCGATGTAGGGGAGGCAGGATCCATACATAGCTTTAAGCAGAGGTATGATAAAGCTCATGGTTCAGGGAGAGTGACCTAGTAGCGGCCAGTGAAGAGGCGGGGCCAGGAGATTGGACTCTACCCCTGCAACCTCAACTAGGTGAGTACAACTAGGTGAGTACACACACACACACACACACACACACACATATACACAGTGATGTGGTAAAGGTAGGGTTAATATATTGTTTTAAGAAGTACGTTAAGGCTCTTGAAGCCACGAGTGAATCTAGTAGTAGCCAGCGAAGAGGCGGGGCCAAGAGCTGAGACTCTACTTCTTTAATCACATAAGCTGAGCACGCACACACACACACACACACACACACACACACACACACACACACACACACAAACACTAATACAAGTGTACTCATTAACTAAGAGGATGGTTCTTGTGTTACAGTACCTGGTGAAGAAGACTTCAGGCTTACCGCATGAACTCTTAGGGCAGCGAGCATCGAGCAAGACTGAGGACTAACATTCTTATCCACTTCAACCACAACACAACACACTACACAGTCAACGACAAACAAGCAAAACATAGAAAGTGTAAGCTCATTAACTAAGAGGAGAGTTCTGGTTAACAGTACATGGCTGAAACTATTCCAGAGGTTTTACGGCACTTCAATATTACTGCTGTCGGCCATCACACACTTCGAGACAAACTTCTTCCATCTTCAAGTCCATCAAGATCAAGTACATAACGTGAGTGTCAAGGGGGAGAGAGAGAGAGCAAGAGGAGGGAGTAGAGAGGGGGAGAGAATTGAGAGAGACGGAAAGAAGAGGGAAGGGATGGAGAGTGGTTGTTAGGGGGTGAGTAAGAGAGAGAAGAGAGAGAAGAGAGTGAGGATTGAGAGAAGATTGAGAGGAGGGGCAGAGAGAGAGAGAGAGAGAGTGAGAGTAAGGATGGCTTTGGAGTGAAAGAGAAATTTAATAGAGGAGGGGGAGAAAAGAAAGAGATTTAGAAGTGAAGAGAAGAGAGAAAGGAGAGATTTTAAGAAGAGGTTGTATAGACAGTAGAGACGAGAGAAAGATGAAGAAGAGATATGAGAGAGTGATAGGTATATATATATTATATATATATATATATATATATATGTCGTGCCGAATATGTAAAAACTGGTCAATTAGCAAGAACTGTCAATTTAAAATTAAGTCCTTTTAAAATTTTCTTTTGTAATTTTAAAGATATAGTTTTTTAATTAATATTATTTGTATAAAAATTTTAAATTTTCAAAAAAATCTTAAAAACTTACCTAACCTTATTATAACAAGAACAATTTATTTTAGCCTAACCCAACTAAATATTTTTTAAATTTGTTTACAATAATTTAATACTAAACAAACACAGTGAAAATATTTTTTTCGTTAGGTTCAGAATGATTTTGGCGAAATTATTCCATACACAAATTTTCACTTGTCCTATATGGCAAGATGAGCGTTGCTATTTAATCCAAGATGGCAAGTTCTGCCTATTCGGCACGACATATATATATATATAATATATATATATATATATATATATATATATATATATATATATATATATATATATATATTATACACAATACTATGTTCATGCATAGGTTAATTTGAAAATGATATAAAATACTGACAAGTTGATAATAAATATATGTGCAACAGTTAGGTGTCTTTATTGTTGAAGCGTTTCGCCTACACAGTAGACTTCTTCAGTCAAATACAGAGACAGCAGGTGAAGTAGTAAAATGACAATGTAATCAGTCCATCAACCTTGGAGAAATAGTATTTGAAGTGGTCAGTCCTTCAGCCTAGAGAAGAGTTCAGCTTCATGGTCTGGAACCACATGAACCTTCAGCTTCACATCGGATTGCATCAACATTTCACTACTACACCTGTTGTCTCTGTATTTGACTGAAGAAACCCACTGTGTAGGAGAGACGTTTCAACAATAGACACACCTAACTGCTGCACATGTCTTGTTTATCATATATTAGGTTGAACAACCCTTCAAGATTCCTCTTTTCCATCTAATTTCTACTTCATGTGAGAGGCTCTGATCCAAGGAATTCGGTCTCTCCACTGCCTTGGATTAAACTTGATTACCATTCTCCAGGCGCTGTAACCTTTACGTTTAACGCCTAAACCCGTAGGGGTCATACAACGCCTAGGAATTACGGAGGAGTCAGATTTTATTCAGTGTGAGGGAGGATAGTTCTGATTCTCAATCAAGAGACCTCTGTCAAAATCAAGGTCCTTGATTCAAGAAACTGGAGAAACAATCCCCTTCATTGGAACAAATCTGATTACCTCCCCTTTTCAGGTGTTGTATTTACCTGGAGACCTGGAGTTTATTCCGGGGGTCAACGCCTCCACGGCCGAGTCCTTGACCAGTGTATGACCGTTAATATTTTCCCTTATAATGAAAAATAAAAATAATTAAGATTCAAAATTATAAAAAAAAATTAATAACTAATAATACTTGTAAGAATGTAATGAGAATACAAACAGGAGAAGACCAGGAAAGACTTCAAATGCGTTGGACAAACTGCTGAACTGGCCTGAGAATTGGCTAATAGGATTTAACTCCGGTAAATACCTTCTGAACAAGAGACCTCGACACCACCTTCCACTCATTAATCCTCAAATATTTCCCAGCAGTTCGGTTCACCATTTACTTTAAAAGCTCACACAAACACACTTCCTTTACGACTCCACTAAGTTTCAGTTTATTATTTACAAATACTTGCATCTCTCCTCCAGTATCTCCAAATATACGATTGAACAAAGTTTTAGCAGAATGTCTTTATTTCGTGAAGTTAAATTTTTTTTGGTGAACGAAACGTTTTTTTTTTTTTACAAGTAAAAAGGTTAATGAACTGTAAATGTCTTTGCTTAATCGTACTTTGCTGCATGTTTTTGCCTTTTAGAAATATCCCCAAACCCATTAAAGATACACAAACAAATGCGAATCCTTCCTCCAGTGTCCATAAACTGTTTAGTTTTATCCTTAAAAACACACACAATCATTCACGTTTCGCCTGCAGTATCTCGGTATATTTATGATAATTTAATCAAGAGAATCACAGATCTCTCCGTTTTCAGATGCTTCAGTATCTCTTTAAAAAAAAACTAATAAAACACCAGCATCTCTCATACAGTATCTCTGAACACTTCCGTTTTCCATTTAAAAACCACGTAAACCTCGTATCTTTCCCCCATGTCCAATGTCTTCACTAAATGTTACACCCCAAAATATTTACGTCCCTTTTCGTTTTGTGTTTTTCAGCAGTATGTCCCTCTGCCAGGTCCCCTTCCTGTCCCTGGCTCTCACTCTGGGGAGGATCTCTGGCGGTATGAAGGGAATATGAGGAAACAGAGAAAAATGGGATATGAAAGTGTGGGGAATGGAAGGAGAGAGAGAGAGAGAGAGAGAGGGAGAGAGAGAGGGAGGGAGGGAGAGAAAGGAGTACACTACAGCAATGGTATAAGGAGCGTTACTTTGCCATAACCATCTCCACATTTAGTCATTTCTTACTCTGGTCTATGTACTTCTGTTATTTACTGCTATTTACTGTTATTTACTAACCATGGCAGTAGCTTGCTTTATGGCATTACGTGCATAACCTTTGTGTCTTCCCTCTCAGGCATCAATTATCGGCGTATTCACCTGTGGCAGCGCAAACCTGAGTCAGTCAGTTGAACGCGGCTGCCAGGAAATCAACAAGGAAGAGGGCCCAGTCTTTAGACACTACTACGAGAACTTCTAAACTACCACTTTCTGTTCAACTACAACCACTGTTACAACTACTGCGACTTATGCTACGACAAAGACACTTGGTTTAGAGCAAATCTTCGTTAATCTCCCACTGGGAAGAACCAAAATCAAGTGATTTTTCCTACTATACTTGTAGGCAATATCGGCCATCGAATATTACTACAACTACGAGTAGTATCGCTAAAGCGTCTACATTACCCGCACATCACTTCTTTGATGCCCTTTTGCATGTCTGTCAGCGATGCCAAGTTTTGATTACGTTCATAAGATTAATTTAAACTTAGTTTTCAAGTCTAAGGATGGTTCAATACTCACAGCTTCTAGACACGAGTATTTCTCAGTGGGCTGTAGTAGTCACTGCATTCCTGTAATTATACATTACTCTAAGAAAATTTGCCCCTCAAGGAAGGTTCCTTGATGTTGGTGAGGGGCTCTTGATTTAGTGAATTGGATCTGTGCTCCAGTTCCCCGAATTAAGCCTGAATGCCTTCCACATCCCCCCCCCCCCAGGCGCTGTATAATCCTCCGGATTTAGCGCTTCCCCCTTGATTATAATAATAATCTAAGAAAATTTGCAATAATACAATATTAATAAAAATAATAAATACAGTTAATAGTAATATGTACAATTAATAATACAAAATTCTATAATACAGATATTACTACTACTAGTACACTATAATTACCACCAAGAGGAATATCAAAATAAAACTGAATGTGTTCTATTTCTGTAATCACTCTGGTAAAAAAAAAAAACTCACTCACGAATTTGAAATGAAAAGTGCACAATGTCCCTGTCCATCCTAAACCATAAAATATCGTGACTAACTTGATAATCCACGACAGACAAACGTTGCCCAGTTCTCGCGTCTTGAGTTGTGGGTGAAATTTCATGCTCAGTTTGTGAGTTAGTTGTGAATTGCTCTAATTATGGTATTGTGATTTGTATCAGTTACTGTAATGCTTCGTCTTTCAAGAGGAGGTAAAGGGAGGGGGGAAGCTCATTAATGCAGTCAAGAGCCCTCCTTCACTTCCTCAAGAAGAAAAGGGGGACTCATTGATGCCAATCAAGAGCCTTCCTCTAGTTCCTTGATTATTATTTATATAATCAAGACTAAGCGCCAAACCTGATTCTCTTATTTCCCAAGGTGCTTTATGACCCTTACAGATTTATCATTTTCCTCTAGATACAATAACAGTATTAATATGTGATCAGTTTCTGCGCTGTGAAGTTTCTAGACAGTTTTAAACAAGAGTTTAGTACTCACTAAGGTACTCACTAGTACTCACTAAGGTACTCACTAGTACTCACTAAGGTACTCACTAGTACTCACTAAGGTACTCACTAGTACTCACTAAGGTACTCACTAGTATTTACTAAGGTACTCACTAGTACTCACTAAGGTACTCACTAGTACTCACTAAGGTACTCACTAGTACTCACTAAGATACTAAGTAAGCTATTCATTGAATGATTAAGATGGGAAAACCAAGCTGAGGCAAGATAACTCTTAATTTGTTTAATTATAAACATAACTAAGTACTAAACTTACAAGGGTCATACAGCACTGTAGCTTGTTAAAGGTTTGAAGCAACACTCTTACTGCCGTTGCCTCCCCCCCCTTAGAGAGGGGGAGAGAGGAGAGGGAAGGGAAGGGAGGGGGGGATGTAATATGCCAACAGGAAAACTGTTTCTAACAAAAAATACCTGATTCTCAACAAGTTTGGGACCTCAACGGGAGTTATCAGTAACTTTTCCTGACAAGACTCAGTCATACCACACTACTTTCACAGCCTTTGTCATGGAGTTAGTCTGTGTGTAAATACGTTTGTGTGACTGATTTCTTTTGGTCTCTCTGTCTGGCTATTTTTTTGTTTTTGTATGGCTCTGTGTTTCACTGTGTTTTTCTGTTTGGTGGCCTCTGGCTTTGTCTTTACGTGGTTCTGTTTTTGTCTGTGGTGGTGTCTGCGCGAATGTCTGTCTCTGCTTGTCTGTGTTCTGTATGTCTGTGTGGTATCTTTATATATATAAATAAGGGTTTAACAGGGCTAGGTTAAAAAGTCGTACCTCTATTTACTAGGTAAGAGTTGTTACATAGCTCATTTGAAGTCCTTATTTTGAAACATACAACTGGGAAATAAGATGAAGTTAGAGCTATCAATGAGCCTGCGATTTAGTTTGACCTTTTCCATTAATGCCATTATACTGTACGAACATGTTCAAGATTCGTGTCATTTTAGGAATCTCAGATGAAGTGATGTTTTATGAGAAAGATACAGCCAGTGTACTTGCTGTCCGTCTGGTTGTGTAGAAACTGTCTTCTCATTGTCCATAAAATGGAGCCAAGTATGGTACCTTGACAGCATTGGCCTTTTACATAACAATAAAACTTCCCACTTCCCTCCGGTGTTGAATGCTTTGCTGAAATGACAGATCAGTCTGCGCTGGGTCCAGACCAGGAAAGTCGTCCTGCTCCGTTCCCTATTCTGTTGAGAAGTCGTAGAAGAGACGGCGGCAGGCAATCTAAGAAAGTGAGGCATACTCAAGGTGTGAGCACACTTGTGCCTCGTACAGTCATTAATCCTCTACTGTTGAGGAGATGCAAATATGTCTAAGACTGTTAATTTTCTGGTCCCCTTGTTTGCAAGATTTACAACGTGGCTCTTCATTGTCAGTTTGGAATAAATTTCACTCCAAGGACATCAACTTACTCCCCGGATTCCAACACCCATTCATTACTACTGCTAAAGCATTATCATCATTTGTGTTTTCACTGAAGCAAATGTAACCTGTTATTGTTTACTTCAGGATGATAAAGCTGTAAGCTGGTTAATGATTTATCTGACAGCTGGCATTTCCTCTCTTGGATAGGTAAATGTCAGTACAGTCTTCTGTATATGCATGGGATTCTGGGATGAGTTGAAGGTCAATGAGTAGACATCCAATAACAATGGCCCAAGTACACTTCCCTGTGGAACGCAGGCATCGATTGAGCATCTTATTGACTCTGTCCTATTGTGAAGTACTCTCAGAGGTCTACCTTGAAGGTAATCACTAAGGAGGCATAACGCAGAGCCGGAGACTCCGAGGACTTCCATGGTGTCATGACTCACGAAATCATAATGACACGATTGCAAACAAATCATACCATGGGTGGGGATAGAACCCTGGTGTCATACTCGATCGAAAGCGGCGCCAGCAGTATTCATTCCTACTACACATCTGATCTTAGATTCATCCAGCGACTGGTGCCACATACTGGAGAGGTTTAACAACAGATCAGCAACAGTGACCTTTTCTCAAGCCATATTGACTGACACAATGGAGAGAGTGGAAGTCAAAAAACGCTGTCATTTGCCGTGAGATTGTCTCAAGAATCTTACCGGTGACTGACAGCAGTGACACTGGTCTGCAGTTGCTGATTTTAACTCTGCTCTTCTTTTGTGAACACTAACTACAATTTGTCTCATCATAGAAAAGGCCATTTACACTGCTAGGGAGCGCTGATACATGCGAGTTAAAGGTGATGCTAATTGGTCTGCACCTCTACTCAGCAATCTTGGGCTTGTCATATCTAGGTTCACAGTCTTTTCTTGGTCCAACGATTTAAGATGCACATCATCCTGCCATATTGGGACCCCTGACAACCTTGACAGTTTCTGCGGCTAGCAGACGAGGTAATTAATTTGAAAAAGAGCCATATATATTTTCCAAGCCATTGTTTATTAATGTAATAACTTATACTTTACTTTCTGTATATTAGGTAATGAAACATAAGTACATTTGTAAACTATACAATAAAAAATTATTCCTAAAATATTTGTTGATCTTTATTTTTAAATTAACATACTGATCCTTTTCTACACAAGTCGACCCAAACTCTATTTTTATTTTCGATTGTTCCTGAGACAACACACTTGAAATCTTGCATTAATATATTAATAAACGCGTTATAATTTCTGAAAAGTTACGAGAGCGCAGAAATTTACGACCATTTACAAAGCCACACACATTGTGACTTTGTAAATGGACCAAGTCTGACCGAAACGTCGTCGTAAGCTCCTCTCTCCTATGTGCGGGTTATTTGTGTGTTGCTCCAGTCACGGTATTGTGCTCTTTTTGTCCTTTACGAAGGATAATTCGTCCAAAAATGGCCGCTCTAACTTGAGAAGATGCCGCTCAAGTACACATGACCCCTCAAGGGAAGGTTCTTTGACGCTTGTGAGGGGCTCTTGATCTAGGGAATTGGATCTGTGCTCCAGTTCCCTGAATACCTTCCACATCCTCCCACAGGCGCTGTATAATCCTACGGGTTTAGCGTTCCCCCCTTGAGTATAATGATCAAGTAAATGTGAAGGTACCTTGATTGATGTCACTCCAAGGCGCTGCATGACCCCTACGGGTTCAACGCTCCCCCTCTGATTTAAAATACGTGGTTAACTTCCCTCATTTAGACCTCGTTACACACACGCGTGCTTAGACGGGACGGGGAGAGGGGGGGGGGTTAACAGTTTCGAATTTTTGGCTTTCCTTAGTGGTCGACCAATTTAAAAACAGATTATTCCAGAGCCATCGTAATTATACAATGCTGAAATCCGCATTATCCTCTCCATACAATGCTACTTCTGGGAATACAACGGCTAGCAAAATTAAAACGACACGTCGAAAATTAGTTACAATAAAGCTGAACTCACCGAGAACTGCATCACTGAGCGACACTTCTTTGTAATAAAGACGTGTTCCGTGTGTCTTGCTCCGTGTGTCTTGCTCCGTGTGATGCCTTCATGTCAACAAGAATCAGGATCTCTATGGAATGCTTCCGGTACGTTGTTGAAGCCATACCATGGGGACAAGGGAGGCCCTACCAGTACTAGAAGGGTGTGCCTAATAAAGTGGCCCCACACACACTATATATATATATATATTGTATCACAAATACGAGGAGATAGGTAGAATATGTCCTAATAAATCTCATTTAAAAAATTTCTCGACACACGTAGTAACTACAAACCGTGAGAAAACGAGTTTGATTACAAATGTCCTCAGGCGAGTACACCGCAAGAGAGGTCAAAGGTCGTTGTTAACTGCCACATCTGCAACTTTACATCTCAGCTATAACACTCCTTCACTACTGCATTTCCAGCATTACTACACTACCATCAGTATCTACACTACCATCACTATACGTACTATCATCACTATACGTACTATCATCACTATACTACCATATCGTCTTAACTAGATTATTTCCATATCACATCATGTCGAAATATTGCAACACTACGACTAATTCATCACTTTGTTGCCAACATTATACCACCACATCACAACTAAATTATGACCACCATTATTATGCCACATCTCTACACTACGACTACCACAACTACTACTCTACGACCATAAAGTTAATGCTACACTATTTCTGCATTGTAGTCATGACATTATCACTACAAATAAGTTCCCACTATTATATTACTATCATTACCAAAGGCAGTTTATGGTTAAACAGTGTATAGCCAAATATACCAAATTATAATCATAACTAAGCACTAAACCCAACACAAATACCAAAAAGACCCAACGTAAGTGTCTCAATAAAGTGACCAGAACATATCACATAAAAATATAAAAATATACTAGATGTGTAGGTACGTCCTGAGAGAGAAACTGAGATCAAAAGAGGGATCGGGAAGTTGGGTGGACAAACGGAGGCAGGTCAGGTGGCGAGCATTCTTTAACACCGATAAGAAGGAGGGGGGAAATTTTGATTTAAAAGTCTGTATTCATTATTGAGGGTTCGATACGACGGTCTACCTCACTGGTTAAGCAGTTTGAGTTTAGATTTTTTTTTTTTTTGGGGGGGGGGGGAGATGCTGGATCAACTGAAAGATATTTAGCGACCTGCGATACTACACACACACACACACACACACACACACACACACACACACACACACAAGGCCTGGTAAAGTAAATAAAAGATCAAGTGGTATTCTAATGACAAATAAGTCTTGATGCCTCCCATACTATTTGTACAGTGCTTGTGTTACCAGTGCTTGTGTTACCAGTGCTTGTGTTACCAGTGCTTGTGTTACCAGTGCTTGTGTTACCAGTGCTTGCGTTACCAGTGCTTGTGTTACCAGTGCTTGTGTTACCAGTGCTTGCGTTACCAGTGCTTGTGTTACCAGTGCTTGTGTTACCAGTGCTTGCGTTACCAGTGCTTGTGTTACCAGTGCTTGTGTTACCAGTGCTTGCGTTACCAGTGCTTGTGTTACCAGTGCTTGTGTTACCAGTGCTTGCGTTACCAGTGCTTGTGTTACCAGTGCTTGTGTTACCAGTGCTTGTGTTACCAGTGCTTGCGTTACCAGTGCTTGTGTTACCAGTGCTTGTGTTACCAAGTGCTTGCGTTACCAGTGCTTGTGTTACCAGTGCTTGTGTTACCAGTGCTTGTGTTACCAGTGCTTGTGTTACCAGTGCTTGCGTTACCAGTGCTTGTGTTACCAGTGCTTGTGTTACAGTGCTTGTGTTACCAGTGCTTGCGTTACCAGTGCTTGTGTTACCAGTGCTTGTGTTACCAGTGCTTGTGTTACCAGTGCTTGTGTTACCAGTGATTGTGTTACCAGTGCTTGTGTTACCAGTGCTTGCGTTACCAGTGCTTGTGTTACCAGTGCTTGTGTTACCAGTGCTTGCGTTACCAGTGATTGCGTTACCAGTGATTGCGTTACCAGTGCTTGTGTTACCAGTGCTTGTGTTACCAGTGCTTGTGTTACCAGTGCTTGCGTTACCAGTGCTTGTGTTACCAGTGCTTGTGTTACCAGTGCTTGTGTTACCAGTGCTTGTGTTACCAGTGCTTGTGTTACCAGTGCTTGCGTTACCAGTGCTTGCGTTACCAGTGATTGCGTTACCAGTAGATGCAAGTATCATTAATGTATGGGATTTGCACAATGTAAATGTCGAGAATAATGTAAAAAAATATTGTTGAAGAGATATTAAGAGGAATTGTCAACTCGTATTCACTCCACTCTGGATATGAATTTATTTGTAAAAAACTCGTTATTTTTTACTTATGCTAAATGTGATTCTTCGAATAATTGTGATCAAAATCTTTATGTTGATGGACTGAACACAGACTCCAGGCTGAGGGACTGATCACCTCAAACTCATCTTTCTCCGTTCTTTTCCGAATTAGACTGAAGAAGCCACTGGTTGGTGAAACGTTTCCTCAGTAAAGATTCCCAAGTGACTCATTTTTCAAACCAAGAAGACTGGTGATTGTATACCGGAGTCAGATGAGGTGCAGCAGACGAAGGCACTGTAGGAGGAACTCCCCAGTGGAAGCAGGTTGTACCCAAGGAGTTAACAAGTAGATTGTGAGATGTCCTCTATATCAAGATTCCTTTCACCTCTCAAGGGAGGCTCCTTGTTGCTGGTGAGGGGCTCTTGATCTAGGGAATTGGATCTGTGCTCCGGTTCCCTGAATTGAGTCTGAATACCTTTCATCCCCTCTCCCCCCATATGCGCAGTATAACCCTATGGGTTTAGCGCTCCCCATAATTATAGTAATAATAATAAAGATTCCTTGATGTTACCGTGTCTGATAAATAGTACATGAATAGTATTGAATACCTGTATGTTATAACCACTAATTTTCCTGTCTGTGCTTAAGATTCTTAAAAGTGTGTGGCGTTGTACTTCCATGAGGTATCAGCCTGGAGTGTGTCGTAGGCCTCAGCCTCCAGTATGGTGCCGATGAGGCGATGTACTCCCATGAGGCATCGAAATCCAGTGTGGCGTAGTTGGTCTTCGACGAGGCAACGAACTCTCATCTGACGTTTTCCTCAGATGAGGCATCAACTACCAGAGTGGCGGTGTCATCCTCAGATGAGGCGTCGGCCAAACTGATTGCTTTTAGGTTTTTCTCTGAAGTTGAGATCAAGTATGTCTCTCCCATAACTTCACCAGAACCTGTTTCATCCTCCGAGTAAATTTATGGAAGAATCCCTAGTATTAACTGGGTAAATTTTATATCATATATGCTTTTTAACTCTAGTAGTTTCTACCTTGAGGTGAAGCTCTTCTCTACGTATTCCTTCACCCAATATGGGAGCCGAGACATAAAATACAGAGTATTTTATGTCTCGGCTCCCATATTTTATGGTAATGTAGTGTAAGAATATTTGCCAAAGTATATATGGTACACATGATAGTTGGTAACTTCCAACATATCAACGTTCTAAGTTGCTGAACCTGTACTCTCGCGTCGAACAATTCCCACATACACACTGTCGACGCCACTCTGACGTATGGTGACGTCCGGCTCATCATACAAGTCAGTCATTTTGCACCATACGTCGGTCAAAAACAATGAATAATTTTTATAATTTTTGTGTGTTTTATGTTAATACAACATCTGAGCGGCTTCAGCCTTGATGTGCACTTGTGCTTTTTAGGATACAGGTCTCTGAACGGCCTCAACTATAATTGAACCGCATATATCTTAATAAACAATTTTCAATGAAGAAATTATGATATTTTCTTTCGTATAATGACTTATGAATGCCGTTTCCGATTCCTTTCAAACCCTGAATATTTAAATGCATTATCAGCTTATGCCGCACTCTGCACTATTCCAATCACATGCATTAAAACACAAGGGACTGGAATTATGAAATAAGGGATGCCTTTCTCGGATCGCGCAGTGACCGAGTATAAGCTGGAGAATTTCCTGGTTTTACCATATAATAAAAATCTCTCTTACCTTCCACAACCTCTTAAATAATTTATTATTAATTCTAATTAATATTAAATTTA